TTGTTTACTACAGTCCAAAAGAAGTTAAAGAAGTAGCAGCTGGCTTTTATTCAGCCAATGGAATTAACATTTCACCTGACAAAAAGTAAGTTTCTCCTTGCCTCAGATTTTGTTCAATCAGACACAAGAGTCCTGAAATCCTACTCTGGGCACACAGGAGCTCTGTGGTCAGTGGCTAAACTGGCTCATATAAGGCAAGGTGCTACCTGCAAAACATGAGTGATGCAGAGGGTTTGTAGAACAGAAGTTAAATGTCTTTAACTGCAGGCAGTGTTTCCTGCTCTGCGTGGTGGTTTGTGTACAACTGGAGCAAAAGCTGTTCCGTTTTAACCAGCTGATACAGAAGGTTGTGCATATTGCTTGCAAGGATCAATGGGGTAGAATTTCTGAAAGCGAGGAAATGCTCTACAGTCCTCAAGTTTGTACCCCTGTGCTAGCCAGTCGTCTGGCTTAGGCAGGTGGCCTTAAATTAAAAAAAAAAATAGATCTGGGGATATGACAAACCAAGGCCTGCTTCAGTGTCATAATAGAAGAATTGGCACAGTGTGAAGCTCCATTAGTGTCTCAGCAGGCTGGCTTTGGTTCAGTGCACTCTGGCCTGCTTGAAATTTCTATTACTATGCGAGGACTGTGAGCTGGCATTCCTTGCAGGAAGAGCCGGGTTTACACGTGAGGAACTGACTGTTTTTGGGGGTCTGCTTACTCGTGCACATTGCTAAGAGGTGCTTTCTTTTGAAGGTACATCTATGTTGCAGATGTATTAGATCATAAAGTCCATGTTATGGAAAAGCATGCTAATTGGAATTTAACCCATGCGAAGGTAAGGTGCTGCTGTTCCCCAAAAAGGGCTACGTGCAGGTTTCAGACAGATTAGTCCCCGTGAGGCTTCACCTCTCAGCCTGCTCACGTGTGAAGTTCTGATCTGGAACAGCTCCTGCCGTGGGTTGGTGCCCCGCTGCAGAGCTGCAGGTCCCACCAGCAGGTCCCACCAGCAGCAGAGAGGGATCCTGAGCGATGTTGGAGCCATGGTGGAAGGCTGCCTTGGGCAGCGTGGGTGAACCCACCAAGCACAGATAAAACCAACATGAGCATGGCTTGAAGGCAGCTGAAGGGGGAAGCCCAGAGCAGCGAGCAGGCTCCCAGCTCGGAGGAGGGGATAAAATACACTGGGTGGGGGGAGATGGCCCTAGGGGAGGAGAGAATGAAAAGAAATCGGGTTATGTGCAATGAGAGTCGTGGATAAGCCTATTGATAATGACTGCAAATAAGACAGGTTTATACTTTGCTTCTAGGACTTCTGATAGATTTACTGTCTCTCTTTTTCTTGCTTTCTCTCTCTGTTGGATAGACGCTGCAGCTGGACACGCTCGTCGATAACTTGTCTGTCGACCCTGACACTGGGGACATCTGGACAGGCTGTCATCCCAATGGGATGAAGCTGTTCTACAGTGATCCAGAAAATCTGCCTGCCTCTGAGGTGCCTTTTGGGAGATGTCACTGGTCTCTGGGCTATGTCTGTGCCAGGAAGTGGCATTGTCCAAATCATCCTGGTTTAACTTAACATAGAAACAGTGCCTGGCTGGCCTCTCTGAAGGCAAAGACCACGCTGGCTCCCAGCTGAGAGCTTCTGCCCTCACATGGGAAACCTGAGCAGCACTCGCTCAGTTTATAAAACACCAATTCAGACCCTTTGGAGACAACAGAATAATTTCCACTTAGCAGTTCAGTCCTTCTGGACTCCTTAGGCTGCTTTCTGTGCAGCTGTGGCGGCGCAATCAGGTTTTGATGAACTGTGTTAATTACTGAGCCAGCACCTCTTTGCCAAACGAAAGCACTGACTGAGTGCAGAGCAGGGCCAGAAGTGTTCTCTCTGGAACGATTTGTCTGTGCAAGCGCTGCTCATCAGCAGGTGACACTGCAGTCCTCCTTCCCTCTGCACCCAGCGAGGCCCTGCAGCAGGGCATGAGGTGCTGATGGACGGATGTTTGGTTTTAGAGCTGTCTGAAGGTCTCCATAAGACACTTGTCAGAATTATCCCATTTGGTAGCAGCAGATTTGGGATAGTGGGCCGGTGTTTATTCTATCTGAAAAAAAACACAGGGTGAAACTGCTGCAGTACGCAGCAGCTGATCCAGCTAATTCATTTAAATTAAGGTCTGGACGTTCCCTCTGCCCTCGGGGGGGATTTCCACCCACAGCACTCTCAGTAGACATCTCCTCCTCCTCCGGCAGGTCCTGCGTATCCAGAACATCCTCTCGGAGGAGCCGGTGGTGACGCGCGTGTATGCGGACGATGGCTCCGTGCTGCAGGGCAGCTCGGTGGCGTCCGTCCACGGTGGAAAGCTGCTCATCGGCACCGTCTTCCACAGAGCCCTGTACTGTGAGCTATAGCTGGTCCCGGGTAAGAGCCGCGGCAGGGGGAAGGATTTTAGTTCCTCGTGGACTCACCTAGATTGTGCTAGATTTCCTAAGGATGAGACTGTTCCAATAAACGTTAACCAGAGCCATGGAAATGCATTGTAGCCTTCCTCTCCAGACTGAGAGATTTACCTAGCGGTAAAGGAAGCGGAACTGAAGGTGAGAAACCAGCTTCTCTTTAGAGTGGAGTGCCTGACGACAGTAACAGAGGGTAAAGCAGAAGTTCGGATGACAAATGACTGAAACCGTCAGACTCCGAATTGTCTGTTGTGACTGGACTTCTGGGTTTTGTCTGAGAAAATTGGTTTTGTTAATGAGAATTACTAACGACCAGTCTGGTGTGCTTTCTTGGCACTGACCCTGGCCTTTCCTAGGGACTGTGCTAGGGGTTCTTTTTCTAAGCCTTCCTGATCCGGGCTTTCCCTAACACTTCAGAAATCAGTGGAAGGAGAATAAATGATATTTTAGGCTCACTTCTTCCCTCTTCCCCTTTTAAACCATTTCCTAACATTACTTCACTTTCATGAGTCTTAATCCTGCTGAGAAAAGAGGGGGCATCGCTCTGGAGTGGTTTCTTACTGAGCCTGCTGGAGGGGGCTTAAAGAAGACTATTTTTTTCTTAAGGAGCAGGAAACAAGCCCCAGAGACCTCCACTGAAAAAAAGCGCAGTAGCTGTTATTGTCTGTCACAGCACAGGGAGCCTTCGAGGGTGCTTTGCCACAGTGACTGGCACCCGGAGTGGCTCCTGCCTGTCCTGTGCTGAGCTCCAGGTGGTGTGGAGCTGATTTCGGTGCGTGCTGGGCTCCCACTTCACAGTCACCCATCGGCACTTACCAGCAGCCTTGTACTCTACCATTAAAGGACCTAGCTGGGCTTCCATCCACTGATGTTTTTAGGGTGGTGCTGGTTGCTCATCCTCTTCAATAAACAGAGTTAAGTGTCCTCTGAAGCTGGAAATCACTTTAGTGCTTTGCAGCGTGTGCTGCAGGATTCCGGTCCTGCTGAAGCTGCCGTCTGAACCACGGCTTGCCTGCCTGCCCCTGAGCGAGCTCTGCTTGCCTTAGCTTGCTCTTGCTCACAGTCTCCTGGCGCACAGACTGTGCCCACGGATCCTCTTCAGCAATGCCCGGCCCTAACCCAGGGAGCTGAGTGCTGCCCAGGGGCTGCTGTCTGCCTGTGGAGGCTTCGGTAAACCAGGGACTCATCCAGCTGCAGCAGGGGTTCAAGTGGTTTGCTCGCCACAGCATGCAGACGGCTGATCAAGTGCCCCTCCACCGCACAGAACGGGCCCCAGATGAGGACAGCTTCTGTCTCGCTCTTTGCAGGACTCGGCTTTAGCATCAGCCAGCAGCACCACGTGCTCAGCAATGCCGTTTACTGCAGCTCTGCCTTTGCTGTGCCTTCCTTTGCGATTGCTCTCCCCGCAGGATATTTTCAGTTTCCCTGGGAAGCGGTGTGCTTTCCTGCAGGGACCTGCGGCCCCTTCCAGCGCTGAGGAACACAGGGTGTTCCCGAAGCAAAGCAGCAGGACTGATCCGAAGGAAGGGCTCACAATAAAGAGAGGCTGGGCTATTAACTCACTAGTGATTAGCCACCAGCATCCTGAGCTAACTCTGTAAATTAATTACTTTGTTTGTGTCACTCTTTGTTCTCAAGTTTGAAGCAGTGGTGGTAACAGAGCTGAAACACTGACTAGTCACTGTTTTGGGACTACATTTATGCTAACCCTAGCAACCCCAAACCCAACCCTGCAGGCTCAGGCTGCAGGCTCAGGATGCTGCTGAGCAGATGCAAGTTTTGGACTTAGAGCCTCAGTGCTGTAGTGTACCTATTTTAACTAAGTTCATCTGGTTCATGGGTTGGGGATGCTTTTATCTTCCTGCAGGTGGTGGCCGTATCAGCAGAAGGAAACATTTGTGATTTAGCCACGGGGAACTGGGTTAGGAGGCTTCCCATCAGATTAAGGGCTGAGTACTTGGCCTAGATTCGGCCAGATGCAAATCCCAGGGACTGGAGTCACTAGACAGATTGGACAGTCAGTGCCCTCCTAATTTAATGCTTTAATAAAATAGAATAAATAAAATAACAGACTTGTTACCATGTCCAGCAGATGAGCTGTACTTTGGCTATGTAGAACATCCACTACAGCCAACCTACACTTGAGAGTAACACACTCAATAAACCAAAACTAACGCAGGTTTAAAGACAAACATTGGCCAGCATCAGTGTGAAGGCAGCCTATTTGTATGTCCACCTGCAAGACTGGATGTACATTTCATCTGCATATTCAGAAAAAAAGGCCGTTACCTTTCCCTACCCTATTTTTTTAACCTAATTTAACATAATTACAGACTGTACACGATCCAACCTGATGCCTGGGAACCACAGCCCTCTGGCCAGGAGCTGGGATTAAAGCGATCTTCGGCAGCGAGCAGAAGGGAGGAAGGAGCAAGTGGGGCAAGGCTCCCCCCGCTGCCAACCCAGCACGTGCAGCAGCAGCTGCGCCCCATGCCTACCAGTGACTTGTGTCCCGAAACGGCCAACAGCTGGGCAGGGAAGTGAGGACTCGGCACAAATTCTAATAAAGATTCAGGATTTCTCATTTTATTGCATTCGTTGTCTAACAACAATAATACTCATTGGCAAGAAATTTATTTACACTAACAAATTAACTTCAAACCACAAGGCTTTGTTGTTGGTATTTAAACTGTAAGAAAACAAAGGGCCACCATGATGTTTTGTTTTGATGTCTCCAAATAACAAAATATTAAAGAAAATTGTTTTCGGGGAAAACTCAACAATCTATAGAAGTTCGTATTAACCAAGCACAAGGGAACAAGCTCAGACATGGCACTACTGCGTCTTTCATGCAGATGATTAGACACCAAGATGTACAAACGAAAAGTTCAGGATCAACATGCACTTCATATACATTTAACCTCTTTAAAAAACAACAGAAAAAGGAAAAAATCTGAAGCGCAACCACCTCTTCAACCATAGAAAAGGAAACAACGTAAGAAGCCAATTTTTACAGTGAGCACAGTGCATTTTAGACCCACCTCTGTCAAACCATCTCCTCACGCCTGCGGCAGGAGCACCGGTCCCACCGCCCCTTAGGGACAGAAAATGTGTTTTGTAATGAGGAATTGGAGGGCTCAGTGTCACGGTGGTGGTGTCACAGCTGTGAAAAGTCGCAGTCCTATAGGTGGAGAAGCTACAGTGAGACACGCAGAGGAGGTCAACGAAAGGGACCGTGCCATCCCGCCGTCAACTGCGATGCCTGGGCATGTCACGGTGGGGGTCACGCACAGCCCCGCTCAGAAACGAGCTGCCGAAAGCGCGCCAACAGAACCCAAAGTCAGGTTTAGAAAATACAAAAATGGGTATTTCTTCCCAGAATAGTAACACGGACACATCAGTCCTGCCAAGCTCCCCCTCACTACAAAACCACCCCGAGGCCGACACATGGGAAGACCTCTGGAGGAGCACCATGGGGATGGTTTTAACAGAACTCCAAAATCTCGCCATCTGCAAAATACTGGAGACCCTACAAAAAACACAGGGGAAGCTCAGGGCGAGGGCTTCACTCCTCCACATCTCCCCTAGCCCCACGGCTCCCAGGCAGCCGCTGCCGACCTCCGTGTGGCGGGGCCTGCATGGATAGTGATGGAAGGACTGGTTCCTACACACACAAACCCACATGCACCTATTTCAAGAGAAATCAAGCCACAAACAACCCGAACGTTTCATTTCTAGGAAGACCAATTAATTTCCTTATTTTCAGCCACTACCAAAACGAAACTGAACCCAAACTGTTCAGCTCCTCTGTGCACTTTGCCCAACTCACCTGATAAGGACTTACGAGTTAATTAAGCATGTGCCTGCTTCTTTCAGATGTTTATTTATTTATTTATTTATTTATTTTCAGCATTTTGGCCCACAGCACAGGTTTCCTGAGGTTTTACAGTGAGAGAGAGCGTGGAATGAGGGAACTGCAACCAAAAGGGTCAGCCCCTCCGCCACTGGGTTTGATGATACCGCAGGGGAAGTGGCCACACCTAAAAAGAGCCGGGTCGGGTTTTGCTTTTCCTCTGTAAACACATGGCTAAACAATTAACACACGACTTCATTCCTGCAAGCTTCCCTTAATTTTCAGCACTGATAAACAGTACGGGCTGCACTGCAGGGTCTTTAAGGAGCTAGGCCTGTGTGCAAAGCCTTCGTTCTGGTTCTCAGTGACGTGATGGTGCCCACAGTGGCACTTCTTGGCCATGCACAACTAAGTAATGATCCTTCTCCTTCCTACTGTACAACTGGCTTCTGCACTAGTAACAAGTGGCATTTCTTTCCCTGGCTTTACATGGAGCTGAATGAACTCTCCAAAATCGCTACACAACATCGCCCACTTCTTGCCTGCCCGCACATGAGCCAGAAGGTGGAGGGGGAGCAGCTCAGGAGGCTCCTTTCCAAAGCTCCCCGTCCAGCTAACTCCCTTCTGCACTGCGGGCTGTGCCAGCTCCCTGCCAGGCTCTGTCCATGCACGTTTGCAGACCAGCAAGGTGCAGCAAGGTAAGCACAGCCAGAGCTCACAGAGGTGGCTTCACCTTGCAGAATCCAACTTCTCCGGGCAGCTGCGTCACCCCCCTGGGCAGCTGACCCAGGGACACGGCTAACGCCAAGCTGCCTGCACAGCTCTCTGAAGTCAGCACATCCAGAGCGGCTCTAACTCCAGAAATAAACAGGCAAAAGTAGGCTACAGTTACATCTGCAGGTGGTGAGCCCAAAGAAAAACTCCTTCCAGTCATTTAGCGTGGAGCATTTGTCTCTTCTTATTACACACACACACAAACCATTGGGCTGACTTAGCACTGGTGTACAGGAAATTAAGTTGACAATGATGAGACATCCTCATCTTCTGCTTCGTGTATGTCATTACACAACAAAAGGGGAGGGAATGCAATGCGACTTTAAAGATCCTAGAGAACAGGAATACAAGTTTCAAACTGCACCGGTGTTCATGTCTGTAATCTGGTGACATTTCCGTATGTCCCCAAAATGTTACCATACTTAATAAAAGGAACCGCATAAATCTATTAGCACAGAAAGAGGAACAAACTCTTGACATTGCTTGGTTTGTTTTTTATGTGTTGATCCATATGCATTTTATGGTTTTATTTTAAATTAAAGCTACTGCTTTTTAAGTTAGATTTTTTGTTTTTTTAATCAGAGACTAGCAAAGTGAAATTAGCACAAAGCAATAAAACCCACCGAATACCTAAAGGACTTAAGTCAAATTAGTTATTCTGCAGAATAAGAGCTTGATTTACACAGAAATTAATGAGAGATTGTTCTAGGCAGCAAGAGGGAAAACTCAAAGTGTGTAATGCCGAGCAGTCTGCTCAGGTTCCTAGGAAAACAGAGAACACAGAACAGGAACACCACCACAGATTACTGCATACAACCACTTAAACATTATAACGTAAACATAATTTAAAATCATCAAATGCATTTTATCAACATTGTATTTAAAATATTAAATTTCCAGTTTCTTCCAGATAACTTCTCTTGAATATAAATTCAAAACCTCCTAAAATAACAGAATGTGAGTTTTATGAGGCTATTAAACATCTGTATATTTTTTCTCCAACGAAGAGTGAAGAAAGATTCATTTCAACGTGGAATTCTTGTTAGCAGGTATATTTTTTTGCCAGTGGTTTATCTCAAGAAAAATATCACAAGCCTTTAGAAATATTATGAAGTATCTCTTACGGTAATTTCATTTTTGTATTTGAATAGAGCATACATCAGAAACTTGTAGAAATTGGATTTGGAAGGAAAAATAAAGCTAAGACTAAATAGATCTGTTGTGTATTAGTTTTGAATGAACTAGGCTCTGTCAGTTGACAGAGCATTTTACACATCATAGAAATTATTACGATCAAAGACATTTAACTCTAAACATTGCACCCCAACTGTTTCAAATCTGAACTTCAGAGAACTCGACAGACACAGATCTGAATGTCATAAAGTACAGAGCAGAAGAGAAGCCAAGCTAAACAAACATTTTCTTCCAAAGAATTCAATGTTGGCATTTTTTAGGCCGGCAATTGTTATGTTCAAATTTGTAAGTGTGCATCGACGTCTTAAACAATTCACATGTTAACATGACTAACTAGATGGAGACTGCAACTTGCAGGACGCACAAAAGGAAAGTGATGCTTTTCAAATACAGACACTGCTGCATCCTTAGCTTTGACTAAGAGCAGTAATATAACACCTTCAGCTTCTTGCTGTAGATATTTGCCTGTTGTCTTTCCATTCCTTTTAAGAAATACTGAATATTTTAATGCTGCTCTTAAGAGGCAGTAACATTATCCACTGCTTCTGTCATAGTCAAAACTACTCAGCAGGCTTGGCCAATGGACTCACAGACTGGGATAATAGAAACCTCTGACATATGTAACAAGACCACTGTTAAACCATCCAAATACTCTACAGCCCACGCTTCAAAATTCTTGTTTCATTAGGGATATTCTTTAAACACGTTAATAAAAACAGTTAATACATGGCAGCTTTGGATTTAGTAACCTTCACCTCCAGGGCAGCATTGATCCTAACAGCAATGTACTGAATTTAATTTTAGCCAGAATCCCTCTTCTTCCTCTTCTTAAAGTGCACTTCTGTAAAAACTGAAAGTCTTTAGCAGACTCTGAAAATGTTTCCAATGACAGCTTCATAACAGCACAGCACAAAACTTACACTTCCAATACTTATTGGAGAATGCATCTGATAATGTGGTGTTTTTCTTGGAAAAAAATACAAAACAAAACAAAATAAGCCCAGTTTCCTGTTCAAAATACATGAAAAAGAAAGCGGAGTGTGCTATAAGAAAGTTGCCTACACACTGGGAGCACAAAGAAATTTATACAGATCTATATGCTGTGCTCTAGTTAGAAATTCATCCTTGCTCAGATACCTAAAGGATAAATGTTATCCTCAGATTTCTGTGTAAACCCACATAATCATTTAAGGCTTTGCCTCCTTCCTGGATTAACTATTGTACAGTTAACAGAAAGAGTTTCACCTCCTGTCTTTTACCCAGGGGGGATGTCAACTCTCCTGTCTTTATCTCCAGTGTATATTAAGAAGTCACTGAACAGTTGTGTTTCCAGAGCAGCGTCGCTTCAAGGTACTGATGCAAGCTGAAACTTACTCCAGTAGACGGAACTGAGTATCCAAACCCAGCAGAGAAGCTGAAGTTCCAGTCAGAAAGTCAGGTCAGCTCCTACCAGGCAGAGGATGGCTCCTTGTACCCAGCTGAAGAAGCGTTCACTGATCGCTTTGACTGGCCATCCTGTTCAGAAGAGGGGAAGCAGTGGACCATGCTCCTCAGCATCATGCTGGTTATTGAAGTGACCAAACACACAGAGCTCAATAGAAAAGAGTAGTTTGGAAGGAAACACCGCCACACGAATATGGAATTTGTTAGTTGTCCACAACAACGAAACGAACCGAGGGGCTGGGGCTGTTTAACATGGCAACAACAACGCGCGTGAGCTGGATATGGGGGAAAATAAAACTACACGATATAAAGTTCCCTAGTCGTCCTACTTATAGCCCCGTTTCTCTGTGCACACTCGTGTAATGGATGCAAGAAAGCTGAAGGGGCAACAGAGCGGATAGGAGTTTCTCTTCCCCCGAAGTGCCTCCAGGTTACTAACTCAGCAGCACTTCTGCTCATCACTGCTCATTAGTGCCCTCTGTTGCATCTGATGAACACTTGTCTGTTTTCTTCGATTTCCTCTGCAGTTGCTCTTGTTCCTTCTTCCGAAGCTTTTCCCTTTGCTTTTCCATTTTCTCTTGAGCTTTGCGAGCTTTCTCCAGGGATGCTTTCATTTCCTTTAGCTTTTTTTTAATGATTGCTCTGTCCTGGGAAGATGTCATACCAAGAGCCTGAGATGGGGAAAACAAAATTAAAAAAGAAAGATATATTCATATTGTTTAATTTATCACCAAATTTATCATATTCTAATAATCAATCTTCCCAGGTAGAAGACTGTCACAACTAAGCAAATTTGAGATATAGTCAGATACATTACTGAAGTGAAAGTAATAACTTTTTACACCTGTACTACTTTCCATGCTTTCCACTTGTACAATATTAAAAAATTAGATCTCATTGTAACCAAAATTCTGTTATACTCATTCCTTTGATCAAATGAGACAAAGAAATATTAAAGCTTTTGCCTGAAGCCATCAAAGTCTATGCAGAACAAGATTTCCCAATTCTCATGGCTATGTCTTAGTCAGAAGTTCTCTTGCTGCCTTCTAAAAACCCTGGAGTTAGTGAAATTTCAGAAACACCAAACTTTGACTCTCAGATATGCTGAGCCTCCCACAACTCCTTCCTACAGTTATTCCAGACAACACTAAGCTCATATTTTCACTACAAGAACCAATGCATACTTTATACATCAGAACTGTATTTAGCTCCAAGAGAGTACAATTGGTACCCAGCGTTTGCCTCCAGTATCACAGTAAAACATTTTACAGTTGCTACTCCTGCTGCATTTCTATTCACAATCTTCTCTGAATTGCCTTTTTGTAGAACAGAGCTGGATGAGAAATACACGCATGCAAATACCACTTATACATGCTACCATATGATTCGTGCATGCAAGTATGTGTTCATGACACACACACAGAGTTTTCACTCAGCAAATGCCCCCTGTTTCTGGAGCTTCTGAACCTACGTGCACATGGGAATTTCTCGAAGTGCTGCTGCAGCTTTCTACTCCTTGTTTATTATTCTATCTATCACCACTCCACAGATGGGGTCCTCTGCTTTCTGGATTCTTCCTTTTCTCTGAATTCTTGCTTCCTTTAAGATTATCTCCAGTGACAATAAATAATACAGTAACCCCTTGAGTCCAGTTACCTTGAGCTTACTCCCATCCAGCTGAAGAAGATGCTCCCCATTAATGTTTTGGGCACTGAACTCAGACACATACTGTTCAAGGTTGAGGCTCATTAACCAGTGGGAAACCTGCTGCACGCTCCACTCCTGAACAGCCCGGTTCTGGCACTGACTGTGTTTTGGAGACTGTCCATCATCCAGGATCTGTGACAAAAACATGCTGCGTTATTATTAAGAGGGTAACACCGGCTAGAGACAGCATTTTTCTGTACAAACCACCAATGTCAGAGCAGAGGTGCCTGTGCTATCTTTATACTGCTATAATAACAACTTCATGCCACTGTGTTACCTCTGTACCTAACCAGATACCAGAATTGATGCATGGTACCCAAAAAGTTTTTTATTTATAAATAGAACAAGAAAAAGGAACTGGCATTCCCTTTAACCCAAGCAGGGACCGAACTGTCCAGGTGGCAGAGTTTAAAACAGGTACGCTCCTACGCCATCTCAAGACTTTGATTCCCCAAATTACAAGGTTTCTAACGGACGCAGTGAATTCTGCATCCCACTTCCTAGGCACATTCACTGATCTTTGTGCTGTGTTTAAGCTATAAAACTGGAAATTCAGGAAAAAAGAAAAAGAAAACAACTCAGAAAACCATTCTAAAGTTCAAAGCGGTGACACCGAACAGCCAGCGAGACCGATGCTACCCGTGGAGGACTATGGGATGACACAGAGGGGTGGAAAGGAACACACAGCGATCCCACAGCCCTGTCCTGTGCTGCAGAGGAGAGCACAGACACGGCACCAGGAGAGGCAGGTGGGTTTCAGCTGCTTTAGCCCCCCCCATGCCCCCTCTCTGCCACTTTCTTCCACCCAGGGTATGATGGTGGGGCCTGAGACAAAAGCTGCTCTGTTCGAAGCCCCAGTCAGCAAAGCAGCTGCTCCGGGCTGCAGCAGCTGCCTCCTGTTCCTGCAGCTTTTCCACTGGGTTAGACGATGCTGGGAGCTCCTTCAGCTTCTGGCCACCCATCTCACAGGGACAGGAAGATGAGGGTTTAAGCTCTGCCTTTTCCTCCTCGTGTAGCCAGCAGAAGCTCGGTGCTGCTGATGCTAGGCCTGGAGGATGTGCTCTGACACGGACCCTCCTCCCCCTTCCAACACACACAAAAACTGCACTTTGCCATGGCCGTGAGAGGAGAGAGGAACTGAAGAGGACGCGAGAAGAGGCAGTGACAACTGCGTGTTGTGCTGGAACGAGGGGCTTTGCCACACGACACGGTAAAACAAGAAATGCAAATCTGCAAATGAGACGACACATTGCCACGCGATGGTCACACAGTTCACCACAACAGCACACTGGTATCTCACCTCATCATCAATCATATCCAGGCTCTGAGTGAGGGAGCAACAAAGAAATGGGAAAGAAAAGCATTATAGAAACAAAATACAGAACATGTAACAGCATGTAAAAGTTTGGGCAAGGGCAGCACCAAGATTTGCAAACAGATATGGCTACTCAAAAAACAAAGAGATTTCTTTAAAAGAAAATTATTTCCAGAAGCAGAGAGATTATGTTGAAAGCTCAGCACACACATGGTTTGGCAGCTAAGCCTTAAGCCTGAGATTGTGCCCGTGAAACCCCTTGAGCTCCTGGTCTTGACACACTGGAATCAATGGGCCCTTGCCTGATGGCTCCGATTGCAAGAGCAAAAACTCCTTAGGGAGAGGACAACAAACCCCAGGCCCAGGGTTCCCTCCCGACCCTCTCCTTTAGTTGTTTTGTCTCCTTCAAATAATTATGTCAATCCACCCAAGAAGCCTGAGCAAAGGAGTGCTGTCAGCAATGCACCACAGCGGGTTCAAGAGCAATGGCAGCCTAATCCCTGCGAGGGTGGCTGCACAGCTTTCCCCTGCAGCTCTCACTGACCTTGCTGCCTTATTCACAGGCTGCAACTTGGGACGCTGCAGAAGATGGAGAAAACAAATTTGTTTTTACAGACCTGTTCAGACTTGGAATTTTAGAAGTGTCCAAGTAGAAAATCGAACAAGCCAAATGAAAGCATTCTCCAATTTTTAATTCAACACTACTGGGAACAGGGCACTATCACAATCAAATGCATAATATAACTCGAGGAAAAATGATAAAAGAATGAATTGTATTATCAAGATAGTATTAATACTAAAGAAAGTGTCAATGATCTCTTTGCTCTTTTCAGTAATTCGAAGAATATACAGATTCCTGTCTACCACTCTCCTGTGATTCTTAAAAACTGTTGCCCTTTATTATCTGCAGTAAGTAACCTCTACAGAATGGTTGGTCTTGCAGACTTCCATTTTGGCAAATGATGTTGGCATGGAATGGCTTTCGTTCTTTAAACCTATGCAAAGCATGCCAGCAGTAATAGCACAACTTAACTACTGTCATTAAGGAAAAAAAAATAAAAATGCAGAGATGCTTAAAGTTCCTCCTCTCTAGAGAAAACCCTGGTTCAAATCTCAAGTGGGAAATATTGAGTTCGTAATGAGTGTTTATAAGAGAACGAAAGAGCAGGTTTCTTGAGTCCACAGGACACACTGTCAGCTACTGTCAAATAGCACAGCTTCACTGACAATTGAGATAAAAAACAGAATCACAGAAATGTGTTTTCAATATATTATATTCCATTCAATTCTGTTACCAATTTATGGAGATAGGAATGCTTTTTTGCATTATCACTGTTCAAACATCTAGTTTGATGAACTGAGCTCAAATCCACTGTGTATGTGCAGAGCAAGCACAAAGAGAAGGCAAACTGGATTAACACATACACATTCTAATCACTGCATACACAGGCAGGTACAGGAATACACAATAGTTGCATGTACAGGTCATTAGTATTTTAACGTATTAGGGTTAAATTAGTCTAGGTGAAGGTACCATACATTTCAACCATATTTATCCAGTTATACTGTATCTTTATTATCTAAAAACTGTCTCAACTATGTCTTTTTTAGTATATGTACATATAGGTCCACATATACATATTCAGAATGTAGGGAAAGTGCATTGAAATACGTGAGGATGGAACATCTCTTAGGAAACCAACTGCATCTTACAATACCGCATAACAATCCTATGATAAGACCATAGGACCTTTATTTAAAATAATCATTATAGCAACAACAAAATATAATCTATATAAAATATAATCTAGAAACCAAGATTAATTTCCTTCTCCCCTTCTACTGCCTAAAAACATTCCCTTCATTATTTCAGCAATTATCAAGAAAAATGCCACAGGACAAAGAAAACGACTATTTCCCATCTTAAACAATTTCATCAACATACCTCATCCGATGACAGTGCTAAGGAGTGTGAGAAACCTGGGGTTTTAGGCTCTGCTCCTAAACCACTCAGATCAGCTGAACTTGTGCTGCTGGGGCTGAAGTCGTCATTGAACGCGAAATTCTGTGGAGAAAAAAGAGGAGTTAGAATGACCAAACAATCTCAAACATGTAGCTAAAAGGGAAATTTGCTTTCTGTCTTCCAGGTTGGCATAGGTCAGGAGTGATATCAATTATTTACCAGAACAGTAACAATACACGTGAGGAAGCCTAATCTTTTGTATTGTTAATGATTTATAGAATACATAGAATATTTTTTGCCACTGTGTATTTCAAGAGACATCTTTGCCAGCTTAATGTCTCAGTGAGCAGCAAAATGGCCTGAAAGCAATTTATAGACTTCCTCTTAAGATACTGTCTATCATCATGGAGCTGTATTATTGCTTCTGCCGGTTAATCGATAGCATTTTGCTGTCCTCCAAATATTTAGGACAAGCATGGTGCACGCAGTAGTACAAAGAATAGGACAGAGGATTAATTAGCAGAGAGAAGTGAAAACTGCTACTGAAAGAGCAATGAGAATATCCTGTGAACCCATTTCTGATTCTTCCCTCTTTGCCTAAACCTTTAGAAAAAAAAAAAAGGAAATTGAATATAAAAGAGATCTTCAGATACTGTATTGAATGTTATTGACTGGAATAATAACCATAAAACATTTTTTTCTAAAGAATGACAAATACCACACCTTTTAGCAAAGAATAGCAGAAGTGTGCACATTTTTTCAGAAATGCAGCAAAATTACCATCAGAAGAATACAAAAATTAACACGTTAGACTGGGAAAGCTTGACTCAGGAACCATAAAAAAAATCTAAAAAAGCAACAATGTAATATTCCACTTACATCAAATATATAGTTGATGATACAGACCTCTATTCTCTTTTGAGACCTCTAATTTCTACCCTATCACCTAAATGAGTATCAAACTTGATTTATCTTTGACAATCAGTTTTAAAAAAATGATCCAAACATCAAAACTAAAAAGAACAACTAAAAATGATTCTTTTATCCCCCCAAAAGACAGTTGACCTATTTTATATGAATAAAAAAAAACAAGCCTTCCAAAACACCATGTCTTGATCCTCTTCAGTTTGCTGGAAATCCATCTAAATAAGTGGTATCATGCTGTGCTTTAAATCCTAAATAACAGCATAGATACTGTTAATTTAAGAACTTGCAACCTTAACACAGAACACCAAAAAGCTTTCCTGTTCAGATTTCTCACTACCTACTTTTAGAATTAAGGTCCTGCTTTTCCTATTTCTTTGCAGTAGATGATAAGAAAATCTGAGCAGGTTTCTCAATATGGAAACTTTTAGACCACACAGCACTCTTGGGCCAGGAGTTCAGCAACTCTAACTCCTGCTGTGTGAAGAACATTTTTTTTTTCCTTTTAAGTACTCTGATTTTTCTTTTAACCCTATTTTGTGTTTCACTTCTACAATGAATTTTAGTCTTTTTAATTGTCTGTGGGAAAAACACAAGATAGCCATGGCCTGCTAGTAATAATAATGAGAGAGCGGGATGAAGGAAAACTGAACACAACAACCTTCACGGCCTCACAGTAACTGTAAGAGGGTACGTATTTTTCCCAATTTGAAAATTATTTTTACATGTTTGTTTAACAATACAAACAAGATTTACATGTCTAATCCTCATCTTTCTTTTAAAAAGAAACCAGGTAGCTGATTATTATTATTATTTTTTGTCTTGAGACTTCATCTGTGGTCTTCTCTGTCAATCTGACTTGCATGGGCCAACCTTGTGCTGTTCTCCCTTCCATATGGCAAAACCCCAAGTGTGACCTCGCAAGGCTTTGTGCACAGCACAAGTAAGGTATCACAAGCTTATGGCACCAAAAGAAAAAGAAATACCCGTGGAAACAGCTATTAGGTATGTGTATACGCATGCCTCTGCAGCAGACAGAGAAATTAATTTCTGATTCAAATTCCTGTATATGCAGTTGAGAACCACATCTGTTCCTTCCTACCAGACCGATATAAAAAGTAAATTGCTACAAGTTAGGAGAATACAGGCAGAGAAATATTTTCCAGAAGTGAAAATAAACATGAAAAAGCTAAGTACAGTACTAGAACTAAGGGTTATTTAATGAGTTATCATGCTGAAACATTCATGCACATAGAAGGGAATCACACAGATGTATTAAATCGCAATAGTTTGTATTTGTAGTTCAAGCATCTTCATATAGAATTAAATCCAACATCCAGCATGCATGACGAGCAGATTTCATTATTGGGGGAGAAAAAGGCAAATGATTGACAGCATACAACATTTCTTCACTTGCAAACATCTCATTTGAATACGTTAAAAATGGGTAGGTATTCCCACAATCAGTCCTGGAGAATGCAGAAAATATCTACAACTGAATACACAAGTCTAGCATTTGTTCAGTGGATCCAAATGCTAATTTCCACTGGCACCACTCGTTTTTGTTACAGTACAGCACACCACAGTTAGTTTACTGAATTAATGTACATTAGGAGAAAGACAGAGTAAAAAGGTAGAATGTGGAATGGTACAATGATGGAGATGCTCTGCTCAGATGAACTGTTACCGTACAATGAACACCATGCACTGTTTATTGTAGTACTAACATATTGGCCTGTTCTTTTTCCAGAAACATGAAGCCAATTATGCCACTCAACACAGTGGGAATAAGGTAGTTTTTATTTTCTACCTTTGACCCTTTTTTAGCTGGACTTATATTTTCAGAGGAAGGTTCGGTTGAGCTGGTAGGTGATGGCAGGTTGCTGGAAGAATTGGATCCCTTGCCACTCTCTCCATACCATGTGAATGGTACACAGTGTGGGAGAGAGGAGGATCGCTCTGATAAAGATTTAGTGTTTGCTGATTTCTGCAGCATCTCTCTGGTGTTCCTGTTTAAGAGAAAGGAGCAGGAATTTGTGTTAGAGTAGAAAATATGAAAAAAATGCTACAGAGGTAGTTAATTGTAAAAAGAGTGACATTCCATGTAACTGTGACTAATCACCAGAGGGGCATGCAGCTGGTAATGGCATTCTTGAAATCTCTCTTTTAACAGAAGAAGAAAAAAGTGTGTTCTGACTTTTTTCTAACTCAAGCTCTCTTAGACAACATGTATCCAGAGAATGGGAAAGATGCCAACCCAAAAGACCTGTGTTTTGTTGTGAACCAGCTCTAGTCAAGAAGCCACACGTTGTGCTGGTGCCTTTCCAAGCCCTGGTGGTATCTCAGCATGATTAAATAGATCAGAGAGCACTGTCCCAAGCAGGCTCTGGTTCCCAGACAGGTCTGGCTCAGATTTGGACAACAGGCAGAATGAACCAGGTGTGCCTGTAACCACTACGTAGATGTACCTTGGTTACAACACCTAAATACTGATAGAGATCTAGATTTAAAAATTATTAAATATTAAAAATACTAATATAGAAACTCCTATGCAGTATTAGTAGCTTCTCTCTTTGTACTAACAAATGTTACAATGGATAATGTGATCAAAGCAAATGTAACAGTTATGAAATAAAATGCCTGAATTATTGGCATTTTATAAATATTTATATCATGTCAACAACATAGTATGCAAATTGAAGTTATCTATTCCAAGTGCCTACATCAAAGAACTTATGCGTATGTCATGTTCTCACATTATCTGTATCAACTTCTGTATTAATGTTAACTAAGCCTGCTTCAGAGCTTGAAATTTGCACTGCCCTTAGCAGCCACCAGTAAACTGCAATCATATAAATCTCCCCTCAGCTTCCACCTTCTGGACAGCTTCTAAATCATGATGAACATAATCCCTAGCTCTGTGTATTGTGAAACCTCTTCTCTGTGTGGATGAAATGGAGGTTGTCAGAAGGCCCCCAGGCAGCGAAGCAGAACAAGAATCCTCTCTCCCTTTTGCTATATAAAGGTAGATGTGTCTGACACAGTCCTGTGCTCCTTCCTCATGCTCAGATATTGCTTGAGAAAAGAAAGAAAAAAACAATGATGTTGCTTGAAACACCTACTGCCAGCATGGGGATTATGCATTTTCTACTTAAATGGGAGATTTTTTAAATATATTTAACATTAGTGGTAGTCTTAGGAAATAATTCAGGATTTTCTTCTACACATTTTGAGTGCTACTTTTGGCAATAGCAAAATAATGCTTGCAATATGCATCTGACAGCATGATTAATCCTATGACAATCAGTTGCTCTAAGTAATTATAACAGGATGCTGTTTTTTAATCATCTTCCTTGTTTCAAAGATCTTACACAGCTTTGGAATGTAAAGAAAACATCCTCACATTTTTCTCAGGCAAATTCTGTGGAGTTACTAACAAAGCAAGTGACAACTGGTGTTTAAGAAGTTATACTGAAATAATAACATTTCAGCTTACAGAGGCACAGTGAGGATTAAAAACGCTTATGAATTTTGTGTTTGAAAGCAGCATTAAACTCTGTTTTTGGTAACTGTATCCAAACTCAGAAATATTCAGTAACAAACAATACAAGTAACTGATTTATCAGATGGTCTAATAAGCAGCTGATCGTCCTGTGCTGTGATCTGCTTCCCCCAAGGAAGATAACTATTGGATCTCACAAGCATCTGTAACATACCATGCTGGCATTAGGAACACACTAAGTTCTGTGGGGTGTGCTTCCTACAAACAAGTGTGTATTCCTTTCTCCCACGCTGTGCTTGGTATGTAAATGCTACCCGGTGTTTAAAGCCCTCCTAAAGGCGCTACCTGCCTTGCAGCTATGCACAGGTGCAGAGAATTTGGTTTAACAATCTCTCTTTCCCCTCTCTTCCACTAAGGAAATAATGAGCATTATCTGCAGGGCACACTGCAAGCACTTTATGCCAGTGGAATTTCGACTGCAACAGTTTTTCTGACACTCGTGTAGAGGTGGTGACTGCTCTAAGTTCTCTGAAGATCCTGCCAGATCCGTGCAGAACACGGACGTGTGCTGCGTTAGAACATTGACAATTCAGTACAGTGTGCCTAAGGGGTAACTCCAGAGTCTAATGTTTCTTCTGCTTCTGTGATTTATGGAGACTTGTCACTGGGTCTCTATGTGTTAGACTGTCAGCAAAACTCCACGAACTGTTACATACTGATTTTCAACTGCATACATTTTCTGAGGAGCATTTGAACTTTGCTTTCTGTAGCTAGCTCGTCTACCATGTAGGTTTTCTTTTGCATTATTTCCTGTTCAGAGAGTTTTTGAGTTGCTATGTCCTTTGGACTTTCAGAATGCATTGTGTTTGCTCAGCATTCCCAACATTTAACTGAATGCTTGCCTCTCATACCTGGAATCAGGTACCTGGGACTGTGTCAGATTCATCAGTATACAAGGAGAGGCCTTCAGTAAAAATCCACACTAGCTTTTGCAGAAAAGATTGCTTCCTGCCATTGAATGTTCATTTATTTATTCATTCAGAGTCTGGATGCCGATGATGTGGTCTCATCAGATCTCACAATTCCTTGCCTGAGAGCTGGGGACATGGCCAATGCAGTCAGCATTTTTCCTATCTACTTTCAACTTATGATGTTTACCTTCAGAAACAAACTCTTCTGAAAGCATTCTGAAGTGAGTGCAGTGAAGCTGTAGTGAATATCTGCTGCTCATCCTTGCTCTGGGGGCTTTTTCCAAAAAACGCATGGAACTGTGTTAAGATTTCTGAATCAATGGTATTATTAACTTATTCTGAGTGTGTATGCATCTTGTAGGCCAGCTCTAATAATGTATTTCTGCAAATCCTATCAGTGGATGCAATGGCAGAAGTGATACAAGCCTCCAAGTGTTTTTAGATTATTGGTTAGTCTTCTCTTAGTTAAGAAATCTAGGTTTCTAAGCTCAGAAGGTTGCCTCAAAGTTTAAAACATATTATCTGAAGGCAGTGAGACTGTTAACACTCCCAACAGCCAGGATGATTAGGTTTTCCCAGTATTTCTGGCATACCATTTCTTACATACTCCATCTTTTACCCATACCTACTGCCACAGGTCACCCTAACAGCTTCTTTCTCTTTCCGCTTCTTGCCCTTGTTTGAACTCCTTCTCAAGGGAGCCCTACAACAATATTAGAAAACATTAGGAAATGTTTTTTTCAAATTTTACTTTCATTCCTTTTATTAAATAGTATATTTTAAGTAACAAAATGCTTACCCAAGATCTGCAAGTTTTCGCTTTAGTTTTTCTGCATGCCCTATAGTAGGGAGAGTTGATCTTGCTGCCTGGGCACATGTGGCACCATCTAGGATACATTCGTACATGGGAGAATGTACATTATTATTTTTAATTGCTACTGATAGCTATTCCACTTTCCATCCATCCAGAACAGTTTGTATACCTGTTCGCAATTAGATATGCATACATGTACACAATTTAAAGATGTGCATTCTTCTCATTTTTAAGATGGGTGTGAAAAGTAATACAAACATAGTTTCACAACTTGAAAATACACATGAAGAAATCTTATTTTAATCAAAGAAAATGAAAAAAAAAGTTAATTTGGTTGAGCTTTAGTGAATATGTAGCAAGACAAACAACAAAAAGGATTTACAGGTAAATGTTACAGCAAATCCATTTTTGAACTCAGCTGTTCTCATTTTACAGAAATCATGTGGTATGTGCACTCTACTTCAAAAATGATTGCTGAAATCCTTTCTTGAACTTTGGAGCAGAGGGTACTTCTTATGATGGATAAGCTAGGTGATACTTATCTGTTAACTACTCAGCTAAAATGAGTATTTAACTTGAAATCCAACCAGTTCTATTAATAATAATAATAATAAAAAAAGTATTTTAGTCAATAAATTTGCCCTAAGACCTCTACCAATTTCTGATGGTTTCTGCATAAACTGTTAAAACCTAGAGGAAACTCACTGCAGTACCCATAAAGCAAAAACAATGACTCTAAGTATGCAAAACACCCTGTGAAATCTACGCGGCAGCTAAAACGCAGCAGCTGAAAAAATCAGACACAGTTTCTGTGATTCTTAAGCACAAAGAGTGCTCCCAACTCTTCTAGAGGGAGCAAATGAAGGTCAGTTATTCGTGTCACTTGCGATTTGGTGACTTTACAACGCGACCTCAGATTTACAGTGGCTTTTAACCGAAAACAGTGCTAGGTTTGTGGATGTCTCAGAAGTTAAGCCCTCAGAATCAACCCAAAATACCACAGGACAGTGTATGTTGCTTTGTGGATAATATTTGGCTAAGTTTTCATTCAAGTACAAAATCCAGTGTGCAAGTGACTCATAAATCATTATGGAAAAAGCAGGAAAACAAGCCTCTTGAGACATCCATGCTCCAAAGGCCATACTATTTCTACTAACAAATGTTACCTTATGTTAACAAAAGCACTCAAGAACAACTGACAAGTATCCTCATGTCAAGAAAAGAAAACAAATAAAAGTTCCCCATGAGGAAAAAAACCAACAGAGTAATACAAAATGACAAGAGGTCAACATCTCTTGAGAAGAAACCCACCCCACGGCGGGTGCGGAGAACCTTAGGCAAGGTGCTCTTTGCACCAACTCTACACTGTGCACACTCCTCTCTTTCTCCTCAAAGATCTGCTCATGGTTCCTCTTTCATCTTTAAGGTATACTTTTCATTTAACCACTGTCAAAATTGCCACTTTCAGGACTAAAAGATCACAATGCCTCTTTTCACACTGTACTCACAGCCAAGTGGAGTTTGGGAGCTGGGGGGTGGTGGGGCTTTTGGTGAAACATCTTAATGAAAGTAAATGAAACTATAAGATACCCTGCTTTAGTGGTGGGCAAATAATAAAAACATTTAGTAACTGGAGGTTTTGCTTCTGTAGTAGAGGAAAAAATCTGTAGAGCTCGGCAGGGACACATAGCAGCTACCAGCTCCAGCCAGCTCCTGTCAGGCTTTTACATCACTCTGCTCCCACTCACACACAGCTTGGCCCAGCTGGAGTGCTTTGAATTGTGAGGATTTGCTGGGAAAAGCATTTATGATGGCTGTGAGATACAGGGGAAGGTGGATGAGCTAGGCCCCTGTAACAGCTTTGGCACTGGTTTAAACCTACAGGAGCTTGCATATGTGGAGGTATATATACATGTACTCATGGCACAGGCCACGGAGCAGGACTGCAGGGCCTGGGCAGGAGGGACATCTGACCACCCTGGAAGGCTGCACCTCCCCTGACTCCTTCAAGTTCTTCAGAGAGGGTGACAGAGAGCTGGTTCTTCAGCATAAATCACACAGAAGCCATTTGATCTATCACTTTTGGCCTTCGAGAGCTGGTGTAAGTGATCTGCAGATGATGGATGTGAACGGAGCCTAGCCCTAACTTCTTGTCTCAAGGTCACAACACAGCTGAAGTCAGCCTCACATCGGCAGAGGATTGCCCACAGCGGTCACTTCAGCTGCCTTGTAAACAAGGTTGCACAAAGCAAGCAGAAGTGAAGAAAGAAGAATCAATCACACTTGTACATGAAAAAGTCGTGCTTAAAAGACAAAAGCAAGATTTTCACCATTTTGCAACAGAAGTGATCTCCTGACATTTCAGCTTGTCTACAACATTCAAGATCTCATAAGAAAAAAAAATATGATCTTGCTAAAGCTCACATTTGCTAATCAGAGATTAATCAGTGGACATGCATGTGTTCTCTTTCTATCTCTGAAAAAACAAAACAAAACAAAAAACCAACTAGCTAAACACACAGAACAAACAGAATGACTCTTTTCATTTTCTGCAATGTTAGAGTTTGACAGCCCAATTAATAATCAATGAAAATAGTAACACTACAACACTTGTTGTAAAACAACTGCTTTAGGATATAGTTTGTAAAATTTATTAAGTGATTTTTTTTTTTTAATTTGAAAGAAAATTGTTCTGCTTTAGTTTTCACATACCCATTAGAATCTGGGTACAATACTCATTAGAATATGGATACAACCAAAACCACAGGTTGTTTATGTAATGATCACAGTGGGGAAGGCATGAAACCCTTCCTTATTTAGACATGGGTTAATTTTCAAACCTGAACTGGGAAGGAAAAAGCAACACACCAGGTGGAGTATAACACCCTATTCCTTACACTATAAGGCTAATCTCCACCAAATTTTTATCAAGATATTTTTTATACATCAGATGTAAATGCAGGAGTTATGTCCCCATTGATAGAGTAATCGTATGCTTACAATGAGGAGTCAGGAAAGTCATGTTCTTATGTTCACACCCTTATTTTGCACTTGCAAAATTCAGGCTCAGAATTTAACCCTGATTCATGAAGAAGCATACAATTAGTAACTATACAATAGACTAGCAATTTCAGATCACATCTAAAAACGCCAGCATATATTAACCTATTCTAAATTAGTCAAAACTTCATTAATCTGTCTTTAAAGAATTGGTATGAGAGCCCTGTATGACGATGAAGAAAACATAGGTTGTAAATAAATGGCAAGTCTTTTCATTTACATGGACAAACAAAAATCCTCATCGGGTTCTTCTTTTCAGTTAATTCCACTTAGTCAAAGACTATTCTGAACCTATCCAGGCCTATTCCTGCAGCTCTTACTCATAAACAATTTTATCATGTATTTTAGCTGATGTTACATTTAGAGAATGCAATGTGCATAGGCAAGAATACTAATGTGCTGTAAATTGCTAATTCTGACTTCTCAAGACATTTGAAACAGAGGGCTCAGCGTTCTGTGCAATATTGTATTGTGAATGCACTGAATAAACAAGTATTTGAGAAATGTACCTCAACTAGGTATGACTGCATTGTGTTACATCCAGCTTATATTCAAAGAATCTGAATGAAATAACTAGCAATGTGGCCAACTTGTCTAACAAATCACTCTTTCTTTCTATAAATACAGAGTCCCCAGCCACTGACCTCTTGTTTAATCTAGAGTCTGTTGCCTCTCTGCAATTAAAAGCTACAATCTGTTATTCTTGCTTTACACTCTTTCTGACCCTCCAAAAAAAGCATCTAGCAGTGCCAAAATCACATCATTCAAATAAGTACAATATGTTAATCATGTTTCTAACACAAAGATGTCCTGAGGCCCAATAATTTTATGTTTTGAAAAAAACAGAGAAGATTTTCTTAAAGGCAACTTCCCCATATCTTTTTCAGAGTTCTAAGAAGAAAAAAAAAAAAAAAGAAAAGAAGAAAGATAGCTGTTCCTGAACTCATTTTAACTTTGTCCTTTTCTTATACCATCATACGAGGTCAACTGTAATTTTCTGACTTCCAGGTAGACAAAAGAAGTTATGAGAAGGTGGCCTTCTAGTTGCTATGGTTGTAGTACAAAATAGAAGTTCATAAATTAGATGTAAGTGAGCAAACTGATGCACCAATTTATTGTAAAAAATAATAATACCTTTATCTTGTAAAACATTCCTGCCAGATGGGTGATGCAAAGGAGATGCTTCAGAGCTGTGCCCAGATTTTGAAGGAGAGGAAAGTGGAGTGTGTCCCCGAGCATACAGGGAGAGGACACCTCCTTTGTGCTGCTGTCCTTCTTCTTGGTTTTCAGTTAGGTTGTCAAGTGAGATTGCTGCACTGCTAGCCACTGGGGAGAGGGAGGAAGCACCAGAATCTGATGCTGGTGAGGATGCTCTCATACAAATGGGCAGTGGTGATTTTGAAATGTGCATGGGACTACTGTAACTGTTTGACGGCTGTTGGTATAAGAGATTATAAAGCAGGTTATACCATTTAGTAACCAATCAGAGCAAGGTTTACTTTGAACATGCACTTCTTTTATTCATTATTTATTCTTCTATTTGTAAGAAACACTTTAGCAATTCATGTCATTCATTACCTTTTAATACCACATAGTGTTGTTTATTGATATTTGCTTTCAGGTAGAAGTCAGAATCAGATAAAACAATGAGTAAATATCATATCAATTGTGTTAACAAATTAACAAACAGAGAAATGTAGGACTTAAGTTCCTTTCACCTCCTGCATAAATTAAAGGACCCACTTTGCATTATAAAGCACACATAAATCAAGAAGGCCAGGATACCTGTTAAAAACAGAAAAAAAAAAAAAACACAACCAAAAAAACCAGGTGTGCTGACTCAAAGGAGACTGGACTCACACATCACTCAAGGGCATTCATAGTGAACTGGCCACAGAGGAATGCATACTGCCTGTACTACAATGCAAGGACAAAGACAGGGGATGGAAAGACTTACAGGGGCAATCTAGCATTCCAAAGGAAGCCTGAGAGAGAGGGCAGAGTCCTTCTCACCTTTCGTTCAAGACTGTCCTCTCCATCAGTTGAACTGATGCTGTCATAGAGCCTTGTTCTCGTTGGCCTCTGCCGCTTGTTCTTCACGGAAAGCTGAGCTCGAGTTTTCAGAGCTTTGGAGTCCAGTCTCTCTGTTTCTGGTACTGCTTCATTGAAATCTGTATGAGAACATGATTTAAAGCTGTTTGTAAAATATGTATCTTTTGGAATTAAACTAGTTTCTCCTAGGATATGGCCTGCAGCTGCTAACACACTGCACTTTGCGTGTTTTACTCACATGTGTTTTTGGAATTGCTAGCAGACACACAAAAACCTAAACCTAAACCACTGACAGATCCATATCTTGTAGCTGCATCACAAAGAATCACCTGCAGATTTTAAAATTTAATAGATTTTTCCCATTGTTACATGGTACCACAGCAAAACAATGTAGTTGTTCAGCACAGCTGCACTAGCCCAGAAAGCAGGTCCAAGATACTCCCCCAGCCCTACTTAAACACGCTTGGTCTACAGAGTGCTCCCCAATCACATCTTTAAGCAAAGGAATCCTCATCTCACTGCTGTTCAACAGACATTTTCCAGCATCTGGATGAATATATCACTTGAGACCTAGTAGACCCAGTCATTTATTCCCAATCCTGCTTTTTTAATCCACCCGAAGAGGACATACTGGACTGCCACTTCCTTGCAGGATTACGAAGCAAGTGCTAAACTCATTCCTTTGGAGCTCTGGACAGTGAAACAGCTTGCTTGCTCTGTCACAACATCCTTCACAGGAGGGGAAAGCAGAGAGAAATCTCATCTTCTGGATGCTGAGGTAGTCCATTGTTCAAAGTTATATGTGACAATGCAAATAAGGTGCCCAACTGTTTGCTCCAAACCTTTTGCAAGCAAAACCACATTTTTATTAGTACTGAATCTCCTTTGTTATTTCCTCCCTTATTGCTCTGTCCTCAGAACCATCATCTCCTCTTGCAGATTCTTATCTGCTTTATTCAGAGTTCCTTCAAACTCCAAAAACTTAAGTAAATGTAGCTAAGAAAAATGTCGCTGTCAGCACCATGCCTCATGGTCCCTAATACAAACCAATTAATACGAGCCACCTGACACCAATACAGCCCTGCCTCACTTGCTCTAAGACCACATCAGAAGCTACTTTGTCAGGCTCCTTTCCTTAGTGGGAGTCTAGAGGCCACGACTATTATTGTGATTATAACCATGTACTGTAGTTGTGTGTTTCCAACCTTCCAACAGCAACATATTTTGGCAAAATCATTAGCGAAGTAGTGTTACAGTTTTGCAGAAAGACCCCAAGAGAGCTGAAATAAATTTTCACTGCAGGCAACTGCCAGAGATGTTCAATGAAGTTTATCATGACAATTGAAATGAAATGAAATTAATCCATCCAGAAGAGCTATGAAAAGCACCCCGAATTACAGTCATTCAAGACAGGAATGGGATGGCCATATGCTGTATGTGTACATGACAGAAGGGGCTCAATTTCTACCTGATCAGCTAGACAAACAACTATACGATGTTGAGCAGGACATGGACTGTTAAGTCTGTTATTATGCTGATCTAATAGCTCAAAACCCTCTGAGAGATTTACAACAAGCAGTAATTATCCCAACAAAAATTAACAAGACAGTCATCAGAAGACCTGTGTGAAAGCTGGGAGATGTACTCTGCAATCCTGTTTCTTAACCCCTACAGAGTTGCTGTACTTTCTGAACAGCTGGGGTCTGTGTAGGAGATGTTGTACTCCACTGTATGTACTTTAAAAGATTAAAATGCAAAGGAAATCCAAAGCTGCATTATTTTTTATATCATCATAAAAGAGCTGGACACTGACACTCTCACTCTCACTCCCTGTTGTCTTCATACATCTAACTTTCTGCTGGAAAACACAAGAAATTCTGTTTCATCAGTTTTGAAGACAAAGTAGGATTACATATTTCCCCTTTCATCTGCTGCTCAAACACCATTATGTGATGCACGGAAGTTGGAGAAATATTTCATATAAAAAATGGAACTGAGAAGCCAACTCATCTGCCTAGTTTCAAAGTCGCCCCATTCAAGAATGCCTCGTGGGGAAAAGCATACTAAACACTTCATCTACAGCTTGCCTCTACAAATAGAGCTGACATCACTGCTGTTTGCTTAGCTGCCAATCATCTATTCAAATGAAATCTGAGTATTTCGGCAAAGTTAACATTTTATAAGGCCGCAATAAGGCAAAACTTTTTTTTTCACATTTTATGCCAGACAAGAAATAGATTATTTATGGTTTCAGCCTTCTTTTTCATTTGGCAATCCTCAAACTACAAATCAAATCAGAATCCGTTACGCTAATTTACTTGTCTAAGTACTGCATTCCTAACACACTAATTAATTAGCAGCCAATCTTACTGACATCTTTGCTTTAAACAAAGACATTTAGCTTTAAACAGAGACATCTTAGCCTTGCTGAATCCATCAACTTTCATAAAGCAGAAAATTTCCCAATGCTTTCCATGGCATGATGACCATCTCTCAGAGAATATGATCCAGCCATGGGTGGAAACAGCTCGGTGACTTAACACCGCCACCAAAATGCAGAGTTCTTGCTCTCTCCTCTGTATCCACAGCCCCTAGCTCCCAGTGACACCCTTCCAGCCCCCCAGAGGATTTGGACCTCAGCTCGTCTGCAAGCTGATTGAAATGAGGGAACCAGAAGAAACTATCTGATTTTAGTCTGACATTCCAACTTCTTCCCTTCTTAAGTCAGTTTTCTGTTGTTCTGGTGAATCGAATGAGTGCACCAAGTGTCCTAGTGCTACAGCAGGACAGTGGATGAGGCAGAACCATGTGGTCAGACAAAGGGATGCTGTGGGGTCTCCCAGTTCAACACCGATGAGCTGTCAGTTTAGCTCAAACTGTCTCTTGAAATCAGAGCCACAGACTGACTTAGTAAAGTCCATTACATAGCTGAAGAGTAAGACTCCTTCAAAACTTGATCTTTTTGCAGATCCATGTTGTCTTACAGCACTGCAAGACTTCCAGCAGCGTAACTTGCTTTTCTTCTTTGTGTAAGAGTTAAACTCTAGATACAGATGAAACTAGAAAATCGTGTAAAATTATGTTTCTGACATTATTTGATAGGATACCTATTGTCATGGTTTGAACTTCTCATATTTTTTCTGTCAGGTGCACACAATCCTGTATACTCATTCTGCTGATTGCCCAAATTATGCAAACCATCAACGTGGCACTGCAAACACTTATTTAACTAAGTGGTCACATTGGCCTTGTTTAAGTGAACCACCCCCTGGGCCTGCAGGTTGCTGCTCCCTCCATGCCAGAGCCGGGCTGTGAGCTCTCAGGGCCAGCTCTGAACTTAACCTTGGTTCAGCCTGCTGCAAAAAAAAATTGCTCAAAAGCATCAGGAAGGGTATTTTCCTAGGAATCTTCTAGCACACTAGGGAGCATGATAAGTACCTCAGAGGAATGCTATAACAGGTTCGATATTGCTTGTAGAGACACTCTAATTGGACTTTCTTTCAGAGGGCCTTGAACCACTTCCCTGCAGAGGGCTTCCCTGTGCGTTATTTCAGTACCATTGTGGAGTGGGAAGCAGACCACGTGTCCTCCCACTGTGTTCCCATTCTACATGTACAGGCTGATACATTTCAAAACCTCCTTCTGTGAACTGATGCTGAGCATCCCAGGACACCCAACACAACCATCAAAGATGCTCAAAGGGGCATTTGCACAGTGATCAGCAAGGACTGTCCAAGCTGGTGTCAACACTGAACTGTCCAGGTTTCAAATCCTTGGCTCCTTCCAGATCATCTGTGAATAGCTTGATTCTCTGCCATGGACACAGCTCGTGACCACTAGAACTGAAGGCTTCATCAGCTTTTCTGTAATCTCAGAATAAATCAAATATTTGTAAAAGAAACACAACCCACAGGCTTCTGGTATTCCAATGCAAAACAAAGGACTCTGGGCTGTAACATTTTTGCTTTCTCTCTGTAGCTTCCACTGATGTTCCTGGAAGCCTCTCACTATCAGGTTATGTTTCAGCCCGAGGAGCCAGGCAGTCTGACACGATGTCCTCACGGCCAGACCACCTACGGGCAGGGACAGCCGTGCTCCTGTGGGCATGGCAGGCCAGTGCATCTGTTGGCTAGACCCAAATGTATTACAACACAAGAATATGATAAACATCTCAGTTCACCCTGAAGCAAAAAAAAAAAAAATGGTATGTGCTTGTATCATTTTAATTTAAGGGATACATAAAATATGTATTTTTACATGAGCTGATTTTTAGGGAAGACAGACACAAGCTTCAGAGTAAAAATGACAGGATGTGTCTGCGCACATGCAGTCTCATCCTACAGACCTGAAGCTGGGGCTGAACGTGAAGTGTGCATTATATTGTTTGAATAAAAACTAGAAAAGAGACAGCAGTGCTTGTGTCAATGTCACTAAGATGCACAACACACTGTGCACTTAGGGAATCCTGATCAGCCTCTAGAGACATCATGGGCTTCTCCTCCTGCACTCAATAGCTCCTCTGCAAGAATGCATGGGGTGATTAGTTATTACACATATTGCCAGACAATGGTATGTCCTTTTCTTAAAAGGCTTACATGGGAACAATACGAAGATATAGGCTCTGTCTGTAAATACCAAGTATCACTGCATTACAGACCGACACAGACTTCAGACACTCTGATACAGAATTTACCAGCAAAAGTATAAGGAAGTCAAAAAGTGCCACAGCATGTTTAGGTATCTCTTTATTCTAAAGAAGTCCTTTTTCTCTTGTTAAAAGCACGAATTCAGCCTGGAATCTAAGATCTAACTATGGCTTTTCTACTTCCAAAATATCATTGATGATTATCTGTTTTTTCTATCAAAGAATTTGTTTTTTGTATTCAGGTGGTTAAATTTGAGCAGTTTTAAATTCACAGATTGCCCGTTCTAACTCTCAGAAGCACTAACACTGGTCAACATCTTCCCAGGGGAATGTTGTCCTGGTGAAAAATGGCAGCTCTTAGAAATGGAAAATTTTCATGCAAATATGAATTGAAAAATATGATTAAGAAGTACTGACATAGAGTTTTACTGCTTTAAAAAGATGCTTTTTGATTTTTTTTTTACATGTAGAAATTCCTTTCAAATTGTATACAAAAAATAAAAAGTCTTATCAGCATTGAATTTTGCAGTCCTAGTGAAACAGAACATTCCACTGAACCACGCAAGGTACATATTGAAGAGGATGTCTGACAATGCATTTCAGCTCCTGAGCTGTGGATGTGTGCTGACACTGCTAAAAATGTAAACATGATTTCTGGGAGGCAGGTAAACAAAATACACTTTCCTTCCCTGATGCGATCTACTTGTAACGCCTACTGAGTCTCTATGCAGAAATACAGACATTGTCACCCTGAGTGCTTTCCTGAACTTCAGAGACTTCAGGATAATAAACACTTGCTAGAAAGAAAAATCTATGTGGAGATTTGTGGAAACCAATTCCACAAGGTCTGTGTATCACACAGATACTGTTTCAGAAGGACAAGCCCTTTTTTATGTACATACATTATGTTAAAATATAATTCACATTGATTTGTCTGCAGAGCAATACTCAATTTGTTACTCCACACATGAGCTAACTGCTAAAATAGCAATTTTAATAAAACACCCCCGTGACTGCTAGAAATCAATTTAATTGGTAGCGCAATGCATTTTTCTTCACCAGAAAAATAAATAATATTATAGATTATTGAAAACGAAAATATTTCTAGGAATGAACTCTGGTGCTCCCTTGTCATAATCCCAGAACCTGATTTCACAGACTGTCACTAAATACACAGTTAGTATTGCTCCTGCACCAAACGATTTCATTCCAATGCTGTGAATCTAACGTTGGCTTCAATTCTGCATATACCTCAACAGTGAGGAAACACTTGCAGTTACAGAACTTAAAACTCTAACTAAAGCTATGAAAGTTATGTGTGTATTCTCACTGGCACAGTCTGAAAAAATAACAATTATCTTTTCTACGCAAAACAAGTAAAGGTTACAGTTACCCTGCCAATAGAATCATAGAATCATAGCACCTATCCACATCTTACCATTACCATAAGTTGTTTTGGCTCTTCGATAATGTAGAACAAAGTCTAACAGTTCTTATGCTGTAAATCAGGCTGTGCTGTAGACTACTATTATTTTAATGAACGAACCAGGAAAGATTTTGCATTTTGTTCACAGAAGGCCCCATCCTGAGAAACGGTGAGCTCTACCTACACAGCTGCTTTTGATGTTAGTACCAAGGTGAGATCAGAACCTTGAAAAGATCCATTCAAAATGCTAAATTTAAGCTTGTTTTTGTAATTCTGATAACTTCGTTCTTGCTTGATCTTTGGTGATCGGGTAATTAAGGATGAGTTTAGGAATGCAAGAAAGCACAATTTTCTCCTATTTTATTAACACAACAGAAGTTGTGGAATTAAACCTAAATGTTGATGGCATCTCACTGAAAATTCATTTAAGCTTTATGAAATCAACAATGGTCTTTATTAAAACATGCTAGTCACTTCCACTTCTTAATGAATATTCATTGTATAGTTATTCTGGAACTCTTTATTGTCATTATTTGATGAACTCTGGAAAAACAACAGCATTCCTGTGTTAGTATTTCCTTTAAATCCTAAATGATAACCATACTATTTATGTGTACACATTACAAGAGTTATGGATTGGTTCAAACAAACCTTGACTTAAGCCATCCAGACAGGACACTTGCTTAGTATCTAGATTTTCCACTGGATCTCCTCTAGAAACTTCTCCAAAAGATGTCTGCCTTTCAAATATGTTGTTGTTATTGTTAACCTGGCTCCCATTTTGCTTCAGTAGCCTGAAAACTTCTGCTTCCAAGTCTCGTATCTGGAAGAAATACAACACATTTTTAACTATAGCACACACACATCTGTATTTTTTTTCTGTATTATCAGACAGAATTGTCACCAAACCAATGAGTAAATAATACTCACACGAGCTTGTAAGCCTTGAACCTCTGCAAGATGTGCTTTCTCCAAATCTTCTATTTTCTTTCGTTCAGCTTCCTGGCGTTTGATGAAGTCAAGTTCTCTTAGGGAAAAAAAAAAAAAAAAGAAAAAGAAAAAGATGTTCTTGCTGTCATCAAAAAGCAATCACATTCAAACAGAAAATAAGATTGTTCTGGTGTACTAGATGTTGGACTACGCATCAGAAAATTCTGTCCTTAACAAATATTTTACTATTAACCTAGAAATAAGTATGAAACTGCAATTAAGACAAAATGTAAGCAATTATTTATCATTCTACATCAATATGCTATGTGAAAATACAAAAAATAAAAAAGTAAAAGTCTCCATTCTGCTGTGGGAAATGGGATAGAATCTCTGTTTTATGAGAGTGCGAGTGTACTTTTTCAGTGAAAGGACAGCCAGAAGTTTTCAGGTACAAATTTAATTTTCTAGTAAGTTTTAAGGAAATCTGTTAGGTGTTTTTAGGAGTCTAAGATAGTTAAAAACCATGGACTACATCTTTTACTAATATAAAGTGGAATAGCAACAGAAAAGCTATACAAGGTCAATCTATCTATTTTTCTTACTTCCTTTTACTTTGAAAATCGAAGGCACTTATGATAAAAAGCACACGACATAACAGTTAGTTCTGGAACAGTCACGAAATTCCAATATAGGTAATGACATTTTGAATATCTTTTTTTTTTTTTTTTTTTTAAATTGGACAGGGTATTTACTTCTACGCTTCCAGTTTTCACTTGACATTGCTGTACATTTTTGAGTTTTCTTTTTTAAATGACCACATGTCAGCATTAATTAAAAAATGCTGCACAAAAGAACATTTGGGGAATGGAAACCATTATAGAAATATAAGATGTTATTATTCTTCCTAGCCATCAGAGAAAGGGACCACATGAAACAGAAGGGGGCAGGTAACCATCAGTTAGCTCAACAGCTCAAATAATCCTGGCATCTACAGGAGGAAGAAAAATAAGATGGAAAATGTAACAAAACAAATTGCTTTTGTGTGTTACATTAGTACAAAGCAGGAGTGAATCCAGCTGATATGTCACTATAAATTGCAGCAAACATTTCTAATCAAATGCTCTACTATGATTACTTTTGGTTGTTTGCAACCGCATTTAGTTATCTACTAATCCTGAAACATTCCAATGTGGAATAAAACAGAATAAATCTTTATGTAGTTATAGTTATATTTTTTTTCAGCAATATTAAACTAATACTTGAATAATACTAACGTTTTTGTTTTCAATGAAGACCTTGTGGTTTTCATGATAAAAAAAGTGAAAAATGTTGTTTACCTTACAGGGATTTAATAGCGGGTTGGTTTCATATATCAAAATATATCACATACATGTTTCCTATCTGGCCACTAATTCATTTGCTGAGCCTGGCGTAGCTGCTTACTTTTGCTGAAAATCCTTGATTAATTTCTTTGCCTTGTTATATTTCTTCTCCAGAGCCTGATACTGGCTTTGCGTCTCCTTGAGGTGCTCATTCACTGTGTGACACAGGGTTTGTGCCTCAATCCAGTAACTCTCTAATTTCATCATCCTCTCCTTATTCTCCTCGATGTTCTGCTGCAGTTGGGTCTTCTCCAGCTCCCACCTCACCTTCTCATTCTCAGCTGCCTGCAGCTGAACAAAACAGTATAGATGCCAGTCAGTAAAAAGGTGCAAAGTGCAGCCGAATAGATTAGGATGAGTTCAAACAACAGGAATAATGAAAATCACTGATTAACTATAAAAGTAATATGCCAGCAGAGAAAAGAGCATTTCAAGACTAATACATACACTGATGCATACCTTACTCTTTCTCCTAAAATGAGGTAGAACCTTTGCTCTGTGTTACAGTGCAGCCTCATTGATTCTCTGAGATACACTAACACATTTTAAAACGTCAATAGTGGAGTATTTATGTAAACTGCAGGGTTAATCAGCCAGCACTGCAAATGAATTTTGCTCTGTGTATCTTGCTCAGGAGTCTGAAAGCTTTCATACCCTTTCAGACAATGAGAAACATCATATCTGAAGAGGAATTCCAGATTCTATATTTAAGAACAATTTGAAAAACAATAGAAAAAAAGCCAATTGCATTTAATCTATCTGTTTTTTCCCCCAAATTGGAAATCCTATTGAAATCTTACAATGCCTTTTTTCATATCATAATCTTGCTTAATCTAGAAAGCCAAACAAACGAGGCTGGAAGTAGAATAGAAAATTTAACATCAGGTCATAACCTAGGATTATTTTCTGTTTAAGCAGGCATTGAGTTTTGCATCTAACTGAAACTACGCCAGAATTATTATGAGGACAAAGAGAACCTGTTATATTACTCTTGTTTTCTTTAAACTTGCTTACCACATTATAAGGAGCTAATATTAAAAGGAAAACATATCCTTGCTGTTGTAGATTCCTGCCCTTAAAGGTGCTAATTCTGCCAGACATATCAGCGCTGTTTAACTTTCTGATCAGTGCGGTTCCACTGCTATGTCCACTATTTGGCAACAGTGAAGTCCAGTGTTTTTTTCCAAGTGACCTCAAAGAAGCCTGAATATTACTGCTGAATTTTTAATAATCCTTAGTGCCCGTGTAATTTTTTTTTTCGTTAATTTTTGTTGTAGTTAGGGTTCTTAATTTCCAAAAGCTAGTTGCAAGTTTCAGCATTTGGCACCAAATAATGTTAGGGTTCAGGGTAGGGTATTTTTGCTGCCAGAATTTATGGAAGGAAACCCTGTCTTACACATCCCTGTTTACTTATCAAGACTGCTTCATTTGCTCTTGGCAGTTCTGCTAGCACCACGGACGATGCACACAAAACCAGAATAGGTTGTTTGCAATTTTAGTAGTAACACACATATAAACTAGCCACATTTTCTTTGGCTCTATTCAAAACACCATGTAAAGAAAGAAGTCCAATACAAAAAGATGTATTAACCCTAATCTTGCAAATGGATTTGCACAGATGAATGTTTACACCCACGCCATGAAGTCAGTGGGGCTTGGCACAACCCCAAGGGATTGACCAAGCAGCTCCAATTGTTAGATTGGAACTGGAAAGTAGACGGGAGAAAAGATTTTTGACTTTTTGAACTGAAATAATACAACAGAAATTGTTATTACAGAAAATAGTTGCATTCAGAATTTGATTTTAACAATACTTAATGCAAATTTGATAAACGCTATACAAAATGCATGGTGAGTGCAAATGGTTACTAGAAAGAAACAATCATCTAAAATATTTTTCTGAAGTACAATTTTCTCTTTGTCTTCCTTTATTTCCTTTATAATGTACTCAAACTGAAAAAGAAGGATGTTATTATAAAACCTAATTTTACTCAACAACAGAATTATCAGTTGACTTCCCATAAAGCTTATCCTAATACAAAAATACAATTTCTTTTTATTGCTATTGCAAATTCAATCTAATAACTAGCAACCAATTGTGAGATGTTTTCTGTTAAGCTGGTAAGAACATCTAGAACATCTATTAAAGAGAACTGCAACAGTAAGAAACAGCTTTTATTTTTTTTCCTGTATAAAAAAAAATAATATTTTAAATGTAAAACCTTTAAATATTTTTTTAAATGTTGAAAAAAGGAAACTAACATAAACAAGATATCTTAACATCACTAGCAAATAAAAAATCTATGAACTTAGGCTTGAATATTCAATCCAAATATAATCTAAAAACCTGAGAAAATGCATTAGAATTGTAAAGCTAGAAATCTGCTATTTAGCCATTATGATATTCCTTAAAATGTATGTTTAATTGAAGCTACACAAGTTGGCAGTTTCTCTTAATAGCAGCACTTAAGATTTTACTTGAAACTTTGAATAGAGAATATACAGCAAGACAAGATTTAGCTGAGCCACTGTGTTTCTTAATCTGCCTTTAATAAGGACGTTGATTTCTCCACCCACATAAAGATACATGTCTTCAGATCTGATTTTGCATGAGGAAAAAAATCAGCGTGTATTAACTGCATATTGATTCTTACCTTCGTCTTCAGCTTCTGAATTTCAGCTTCTGTAACTGCATGTTTGATTTGCAACTAAAATTGAAATATAAAATAAACAAGTGAAGTCACAGAGTACTCCAGTATTTTTAAAGCCTGTGCTGCAAGTTGAATACCTTATTACATAGCAGAAGGCCTTGAAGAGTGCTGCAGTGCAGTAGATTGTAAATTAAAATGTCTAGCTTGCAAAATGACTCAGACTGTGCAATCTAATTAAAGATAGGATGCCATCTAACCACTCATAATTTCAAATCAGAACATCCAATCTGTTTAGCAAAACCAAATGTCTTCTGCTTAAAAAAAAAAAAAAAAGAAAAAAGAAAAAAAAAAAGATGTTATCCTGCTGGGCTTTGCTCTCCTCTGATGTGAATGTGAAATATGTCCCAGTGCTGTCAGTAAGTCCCTCGATACTGATTAAAGCAGGCATATTACAAAAGAGCAAATACAGGAATAAGTGATTTAACAACTAAGGGAGTCGGAAAACCTTCAGGGGATGACTCCACGTGTTTGCTCCATGCAAGAGAAAAGGTAAATTGATGCTATCCTTCCCCGCCATTAACTTGAGTTACTCCGCTCAAGCTAGCTAATTTCAAGGGAGAGCAGTTACACCAGGAAACAGTAAAATAACAGGAAACAGCATACAGGCACACAAAATGACTGCAAGTAGATTAACAGCCCTGGCATTGTGCTAAAGGTTGTATTTGCATTGCCAAGCACCGTGCCACAATAACAGGGGCTCTGTGCCGGGAAATGGTGGGTGCTGAGCACCTGGCACCCAGCTGCACGCCTTCCAGGGGATTTCTTTTGGATTAACCTACATCAGTCTGCTCCCCCCGAAACATCTTTGAGTTTGGTTTCCCCCCAGAGGATTAATATTTGCCTGTTTCAGGAATACTCTGAAGCAGAAGCTGAAGCACAGCTTCCAAAGCATAACCACAATCCCAACGGCAATGATCATATGTACGCGTGTGTCCGACAGCGACCTGCACCCAAATCCCCGCTGCTTTGCTGCTTAAAGCACACGATGCTGACAAACTGCTGGCAGGCCCCAAAACCCTACATCTACAGGACCGTTTAATGTGAACCAGTGACTTGTGTGTTGTTGGGTGAGGAGCAAGGGCACGGGCAAAACCCGAATTTAGCTTGAGCTAACACTGCAGGGAAGACGAAACCTTAGTTCATTATTTATGAATATCAGGAATAGTTACGGAAAAGCATGTTTTACACGGTGGTTACTACTCTTACAAGACTAAAGGAAGCCTTTGGGAACAGTTTATGTTGAGCTAGTGGTGCGCATGAGGGACTTGCACTGAATCACAAATTATCACCTCTTGTGAAGCAGCGGTTACATTCTCAAAGGCCAGGCTGTTATAAAATAAATAAATAAAAGAAGGTACAAACAATTCAAAAGAGAAATTCTTTTGGAGAAGAGGAATAATTTTCAAAATAGCAGGAGTTATCACAGAGCTGATCAGTACACCCATCCTTGAGAAAGGCCTCGCTGCTTTTGAAGTTCCATTTTCAGGGCACCTCTTGAACCCTTTTCTTGTGGCAATGCAGGACACACATCCAGTTTGGTTTGCAAATCAGCCTCAACTGATCTAGTGGATAAGCCTAGTCCCTGTTGCTGGAACATTACTGAATTTATTATGGGAGGAATAAAGGAGGCACTCATGCAACTGGTTCCACCTGAGGAACTGTTCAGGCATCTTCTCCTTCCACCAGTCATCTCTTGCTTACTGTCTCTACAGGAGAATGTGAGCACTTCTAGTCCCTAGGGTTGTCAGCTGTCACTTAAATTGACCTCCCAACTTTGCACTAAAAAGCATTATGAATATTCTGGTGCAAGAGGTTAGTTGCAATTTTTGAGCTCACTCAAGCCAACCTCTGATCTGTAACTTGCAGAGACATTGATAACTAATTTTTCTAATTTTTCAATTTCTGTTGGTAGTGAAAGACAATGACAAAAAATTATGAAAGAACAATCTCAAAATGTTACGGTGTTTATATAATGCCCAGACCTTTGCTTAGTTCAGGTCATTGAACCTCGCATTCAAAACCTCATTGTTTTGGAGTGAGGTAAAATCAGGGGAAGGATGGACGCGATAGACTTTGCCCTTTGCAGAGTTAATAATGAAATCAAAAAGCCAAGACTCAAAGCCTTAGGCTACCTGCTCACAATCCATTCCCATCTCTAAAAATCCCACAAACCAGTAAGCAGCATTTATACAGCTTATTATGACATACAAATAAACTCCAAATTGTTGCATAAATGGCAATCTGCTCAGGTACAGATGGTTTTAACAGTTATTTTTACACTCTCTGTTATTATGTTAAAAAATGAATACTGAGCACCCAGTTGGATCATTGAATCTGTACATGGTACAGCAGATCCCACTGAGGCAGAAGAAAAAAGACACTTTCCTGTCAAACAGGCAAATGTGTAAGGTGGACAACTAATTATGCCTGCAGAATACATGAGAAATACTAACACATTGTGGGTTAGGCTGAATAGTGGGCAAGGTGAAGGATTTGACAAGCAGATTTGGACTCCACAGTTAAAAATATTGAAGCAAGTTTTCTAATAGGAGAACAAATATACTTTATTCCATGTCCTATATAAAGCCAGACAAATCCTTGGCAGATACTATTTTGCATTTTTGTTTCCTAAGTCAACATAAATCTGTGAAGGCTTCATTTTAACAAAAGATATTTTGAATAATTTTTGGCAAATTAATTTTCAAAGATGTCTTAAAAGCTGATTTTCTTCAAAACAATACAACTTTTTTTAATATACTGAAAGAGAGTATCTTGAATTCATCTAAGACTGTGAGAGGTAGAATGTAATGAAAAGCTAGTAAATGTTAAATATCTGGAGTACAATGGGAATGAAAGCACCCAATAGAAACAAATAATAAATTATTTTGTATAATCATGGCATATAATAATGCTATATATATACATGATACATTATAAATAATTTGCATATAATAATATCTTTTTCTATAGATTTCATTAAGATGTGTGAAATATAACATCTAATTCTTAGTAAGATGTCCCTTCTCCCTACAGATCTTGTCCTTCTTTAACCACCACAGCTAAAATAAAGCTTCCAGCTCTTTCTATGAAAGAAGTTAAGGAAAATCAGTCTCATTTTTTCTATTGTACAGCCAGGAAAACAAGACACGCCAAAGTAGGGTGATTCACCCAGGAATGCCCACCTCTATTCTGACTTCCATTCCAAAGCAAAGCATTTTCAAAGTATTTGAGCATATTTTTCTTTGCTAATACTGAATTCAACTAATTAGGTCAAACTATTATGTTTAAAGATTACGTCCAACCTACTTGTTTAATACTTTCATTAATCTCCACAGTAAGAACAAGAAAGAACAGTTATTCTTTAAATACAATTCCAGAAAACACTGTGTGGGCTTGTGCAGTGTGATCATGAACAAGTCCTCTAGTGTTGAAGAAATTCAGGGCAAATACCAAGAAAAATACATGCACTCACTCTGCAAGAGCCAACAAAACGCAGCTGTGTACTGTTAAATACAATCAGCAAAACAAAAGTGGCATGCTCCTACCAGCGATAACTGTGTGGGTTAGTGAAAAAGAGTCCACTCTTATGCAGGAACATTTAATGTTTTCTTCTCAGGCTCTTATCCGCATTTAATCTGGAGGATTCCAGAGTCCCTTAGTCCAAATTTAATTCCTTACATCTGCATTTTAAGGCCATTAAGCCAGACAGGTCTACAGATAGCTGCATATCAGGTTGGACATGCTCAAGTACCTCAGTAGTCCAAGCTGATGGAAACTGTTTTCAAGCATAGCTGTATAGGTAAATTATTCAAAACTCAGTGTCTTGTCCATCACAGCACCTCTGCTTTCCGTAGCCCTGTTGCACTGGCACAGTCAGAATGGCAGCATTACCACCACATTGAGAAAATCATTATGCACGATGCAAAGTATTAGAAAATGAAGTCAACTGTCCTGCTAATTTGCATAACAGCCTGGACTTCAAAGTATGGAGTGAGAAAATTATCAGATAACTAAACTAAAAAACTTTCAGGAAACAATGATGAAAAAACAGTAAGTGTCCAGAAGGTACAGAGAACAACACCAGAACAACACTGGTTGCTCAGTGACTGATTACTTTTTCCATATTACTCTCACTGGAGACGAGTAACAATATACATTTCACTTCTATAAAACACTGGTTTTGAGTGGAAGGAAAGGGAGAAGAGAGGACAGGGGAAGAAGAACAAAAAGTGAGCCTCTCTCTTTTCAAACTTCTGTCTGGGCCCAGCCAGCTTATGCTGCCCAAATCTCCTATAACATTCTGGCTCCTTACAGCATCTTCATTGCATTTAGAAAGATGATCTTTACTGTCATTTATTGTCTTTATTACTCTGGGTTTGGAGAAATCCACCTGTTCCATGTCTATTTGCATCATGGTTCAGGAAAGTTCAGCAATAAACCACATTAAAAGTACAACCTAAAATGAGGAAATGTTTCTCAGAACTTTGGTATGCTACACGAGCTCAGTGACTGTGATAAACATCACTGATAAAAGCTTCCGTTAGTGCCAGTGGATGCTATACAAACTCTACAACCACAGAGGTTTGGTAAAATGCCAACTTGAAGCAGGTCTGCTTCCCCTGTATAGCATCTTTTTAAACACATAACTAAATATATAATACTGTGTACACTGATGAGTGCTGCATAATGATGCAGGAACTATGCAGAGTGCTGCATTTTCACTGAAATTTAGTATTCATTATTTGATTTTCATGATCACTTTTGATTGGAATCGTACAAGAAAAAAAAAAAAAAAAAAAAAAAGAAAGAATAAAAAAGCAACCTGCTGGTAATGAATTAACTTACACTTTGTCTTCCTGGTCAAAAAACGCAAACTAAGTGCTGAAGTAGAATAACTTTTTGTTCTGAAAATTAAATTATAAATTATCCTCTATCAACACAACAGTCCTTGAAAACCGATGTTAAAAAAAATCAGAAAAACAGTTCTTTCTATTTCTTTTAAGCAGAACTTTTACAGCCCTTCCACAGCACCAGCTACACAAACAGCTAGAAATCAATGCCAGTATTTAAGAGAAGTAACAAGCACTGGGCAGTGGGATTGCTAGAAATCTAATTCCAGTAAGACACTTCAGAAATATTTTCTGATCTATAACTTACCTCTTTGAACTTGTGAGCCAGCTTGCTTGTGTCCACATCACTGGGGGAGAACATGTCATCATTTTCTGGAAGATCAAACACTTCGATAGCCATGTCACCTCCTGGAAGGACAGGTCCCATGTCTTCATCTTCTTCATCTGTAGCATATTCCCCTGTCTTAATTTTATAGCATTTAAGAAATTCTAGTTATCATCTTATTAGGCAGACTATTTAAAGACTAATAAAGCTAGCGGGCAAATACAGCATACTGAATACAGGAAAGGTTATATTTTTGTTCAGATATACTGCAAGCAGTTACAAATTCTATCAGATAAACTATAATTTCACAGTAGTATTTCAGAACATTAAGAGAGAGGAGAAAAGCATATCTTAAGCACTACACATTTCTAGGGGCCAATTACTGGTAATACAGTTTTCATCCTTTTACAGATGAAGCTTTCTTTTCCATAGAAAGAACTCTCCCAATTCATTTCAAACTTAACAAGGAATCTTTTCCAAACAGAAATGGAAGCCAAATAGGATGGATAAGATTTTGACTGGCCTTTTTAAAGCCATCTGGAGGTAGAAATTCTCCAGTGATATACCAAACTGAATTTGAAAATCCATCGGTTTGTTCTTTATAAACAAATTCATGATATGAAAGTGACATCCACACAAAAAGACAACAGCAGAAAAAAGAAACCAAGTGTCAGAGACAAGTTTAGAGACAAGTTAAAGTTTACAGAATTTTCACTCTGAGTAAGGAGCTGCTTTAGGTAGCTTTAAACAGGAAATGGGGGTGCCTCTTGGGCCAGTAAACCACAAGATGTGAACAATTTGCTGACAAAACTCTAAAAAAATCATAACCCATAATCAGTATCTCCAGATTAGACAAGAACAGTAATATTGAAGAGAAAATCTTGCAATATTAAAACCCAAGTTGCCTAGACAATCTTTCACACATACACCTGTACTCATCTCTTCCTGTACCTGATGTGGCTGGATACCTCTCTGCTGCAGCGGGGCTCCCTCTGTAAGCTGCAGTACATTGCATATGAATCACAAATACTCTGCTGGCTATGCAAGTGTGTACAAACATATTATAAAGCAAACAATTCCTTCAGGGCTACATCTATAAAGCATGGGAATAAATAAGCACATGGAAAAGGAAGGGTGGGAGAAACAGTGCAGTCCTTCATAGGTTAATGTAGTAATGCTTAAACACTGAGGTTTTGACAGAATTACACAAATGTTTCTTCATGCCCTTTCGGCTCCTGATGTGAAGGTAAATAAAAAATAGTATCAGAACTGTATTCCCAGTAGTGCTCAAATTATTGATTAGTGCCATTTTTGTCAAAACAACTCTTCAAGAGGCAAGAAGTCAGATGTCCGAACAGTTCAAATCTCAACTTCCTACCTTCCCAGCTGTCATTTAAGCTTCTGTCTCTGTCATTTAAAAACTCGTGCATGCAAGCACAATGAGTGTAGATGTGTAAGTTTAAAAAAAAAAACAACAAACACAAAGCACACGGAAAATACAGAATGATTTGGTAAAGTAAGTGTTAAAAGAACTGACAAAGAAGGCAAACCACCAACATGTATGACCCAGCTGTACTTTAAATATGTCACTGATAAAGCGAGCAATTTCTTAGGAGAGTTATCTCAGTCTGTATACATAAGTGGATATATATTCTGCAACTAAATGTACACTAACCATTTATTTTATGCATTGTATGTGCACTAAGAATCTTTCTCTTAACACCCACCCCCCCAAATGGCTATATGCAGTTTCTGTCTAAACAAAATTATACAACTAACTTTCCTTGCTTTTTCCAGGAACATGCAACACCACCTTCACGTACTACCAGGGAGGCAAGAAGCCTCTAAAGAACTCTAAAATCTCAATGAGATTTCTATTAAATGAGTTACTGTGGGGACAAAATACTAGCTAAACTCATGTACTGTCAATTTTGCAGTCACTGTCTCTGAAAAGTGTCTAAGGTGATATACAACTATCATTTCTCCATGAAAACAAACAAACAACAAAGCATCTTGGCTGGTCCATCTGCAGTGGCGAGGAAATATCTGAAGCATGCAAAGAGGAGGCATCTTGGCTCAGCTCTGTGTGCTTTTTAAAGCAATATATTAATTTCATGCAAAATGCATTTTTAGTAAAAGAATAAAACAAATGGGTTTAGTTAAAAATGATGTCTGCAGAGACTTAAACTAAAAAGAAATATTTCACAGAAAAAGAAGAAAAGAACATTTAAAATGGACTAAGTTATACTGGGGAAAAAATCAAGAACAGGCAATATTCTACTGGTCTCAGAAGCCCCAGTGTTTGGGGAGGGACATCAGGCACATTAGAATGAGCACAAAGGAAAATCTTGCTGTACAGACTGAGTGTTGATGGGCACAGTCATTTTTGCTCCAATTAATACAAAAAGTAGTAATCAAAGCCAAACTCTGCAATTTAGTGGAGTAAACAAGACAGTGGGATGACACAAACGCATTAGAGAGCACAGAAATAAATGGGACTTCGGCTCTTGTCTTCAAACGATGTTCCCATCTTACAATCACACGAAGCACAAATAACAGGTTCAAAAGAAGCGATGTGTGCTTTACAGAAATAGAAGTTGTAAACTACAAAAAAACATACTTTCCCTAAACTAATTCTCGCTTTTACCTGACATGAACCTACTAACAGGTTGTTCAGACCCACTGCCAGTAAGCTAGAATAAGAAATTTAGTGTTTTACAAAAGCAGACAGACGGACAAAAGTTATTTAACTCAAAAATAACAAAGGGAACAGCAACTGCTTGAGGTTCCTCACAATTCATTTTGGTTTTGTAGTTGACAACAATATTCGTTGTACAGTAGCTAATGAAAACCCATGTGCTCTTTAAACAAAACCTCAGTCTCTTTAGTCTCTACAGGTGAGCAAAATTCATCCATGGAAAACAGGTGAGCAGAGGTCTATTTATTGTTTCAAAAGTACATAGGCCTCAAGGTTTTCCCATCCGCAGGAGTAGCTTCTGCTCCTAGCCATCTAATTTTGCTATACACTGTCACAGCAAGCAGCATGAAATTATCTTTATGAACATGAACTGCGTTTCCCACTTTAAAGGGGAAAATACATTATTCACATTGTTTAACTGTGTTGTAAATTCTTGAAACAGGCCAAGCCCCCACAAGCACTAAGGAGCAGCAGCACCAGCCAAGAAAAGGCAGACAGACCTTCCCAAATCACCATAACAAAGGGTGCATCAAGCTAAATGTTGTATTGAAACTCCCCACAGTCAGGGAATGCCATTTGAAGAACTATAAAAATAGCTCGAACCCATCCCTTCATTTGATATTTCTGAGAGTTTACACTAAATTCTTTCAGAAGAGCTATATAATGCTACTGTATCAATCATTGCTTTTACAGAAGTAATTCATATTAATGATGGAAAAATTGCACTCTGAGAGGCCTTGTCTCACAGAAGTATTCTTTACATTTTAAGACATTTAGGCACACCGTACCATTCTTCTTTTTGCCTGTTTTGTGATATTCTCCAATGGTTTTAATGTTGTTTTCCTCTCAGAATATCTTGATAAATAAGAATTAAAAATGAAAAAGTACTCCAATGACTATTAGTGTCATTCAAATACATAAAGATGTTGTTTCAAAGATGCCCTACAACCACTTGTCCATGGCCACAGTGAACAGGATTTGTCAATATGATAATAATTTCACATCCTGCATCACTTCAGGGCAGCAGGTCATCTGCTTCATGTGACTTTTGTCTTTCCATGTTGAACACAAAGATGGTTTCATGTTTAAACTAAAATTCCAAGAAATGTCATAATTTGACTACAGCATGCCCAGAACACTGTGTTAACGCAGCAAAGTCAAGAGGTTTCAGTCAAGGATACAGATTCGGGTTTTATTTAGCAGGCTAGCTAGGTGATACAATGACAGTGCCTATTTGAAAGCCTTCAGGTCTTGTTTTTTGACAGGATACAACAAATTAGAATGATGTGGGATTTTAGGAAGCCAGGGGAACTGGTGATGAGTAAAGTTTGCAGCAGGCTACCTAGCAGCAGCACCTGAAATGCCATACTGTCCAATATTTGAGCTATCAGCAGCTCAGAGGGAAATGCCATTTACTGCACGTACTGCTAGCACTGCCAGACCTAAGTAGTACATGAAAAATTACAGATACTGCTGGTTCTGCTTCGCTCATAGGAACATACCAACAAATTGTGAGCTGCTGCACATTTATCCTGCTTGTCTTTGCATGGATCCCACTATGCATACCTACTTTTTTTTTTTTTTTGAAAGTGTTTGTCACTTCTGCCCAAGTTCTCGTGTTTCTGTGCAAAGACATGAATGACGCAGCATTTGAAAGCATCTTACAAGCTGTGACAATGTGCAAATCATTGTAGTAACAGATTCTCAAGTATATGCAGGACACTTCAGGGTTCGCACTACTTTTACAGTAAATGATGCTTCTTTGAGAAACACAGTGTTAGCATCAATCTTCCCCACCAAATAACGGACATGCAACATTCCTGCAAGGTGAATGAGAAATTACAGCAGGCAAACAAATATCTAATTCAGCACATGACTGAAATCCAATGCATGCTGGCTGACAGAAGTCAAAATTTTCTCAGTATTGCTGCTATATTACATAACTATGATCCTTCCAGAATAATTAGATGAAGCTTGGGTTACAATGAAGACTATTAACCCTCAAACCAGAAGAATGCCAGCCAGCTGGTGACACAGCAGAATACCAGGACCTGAACGTGCCTGGAACATGTTCTCTTCCTGTGATTTGGTCAGCTCACAACTTTAAAAAACACAGTCATGTGTAGTGACTCTAGGACTCAAACCCAGATTGCTGATTTCCTGCTCAGGAAACCTGATAAGCTTTTGCTGTCTTTTGAGGCTCAGAATTTGACAGCTGCAATGGAGGGTTGATAATGATCATTTTCTTGTGTATTTATGTAGTGGTGTCATTGGATATCCATGTCACCACATTTTAAGAACTGTATGAAAATGAATGGGATGGTTTCATAGCTCTGAGACTGAGCAACTCTTGTATAATTCTTTGTCATCTCAGCATGTCACATCTTACACTGGCAATCCATATTTTCCTGAGCTTCATACAGTCAGAATCACTATCACTGTGAGCAGATAGACTTGAAAGTGTAAGTTTTTTGGTATATTTGTGGATTCATTCAGACAGTGTAAACTGGTATTTTCTTGCACCAAAGATGCCTTGCATACCAGAGCCAAAAAATGCAAGGCAGTGGAGTCTGACATACAGCCACATTTGCCCTAGCAGAGTAAGGTAAGATCATGTTCATATTTTACAGTAAATAGAGCAGAAGTGTTTGTGGTGACCAAAAATGTCTTTGTACTGTGTGGAATGTGCATTAGAGCACATTACTACTTCCAATGTGACAATTGCCTGGTTGCAAATTAGATGAGTTTACTTGCAAGGCACAGTCAGGTGACAAAAAAATAAACCACACTGAGGACTGCTGCAGGTTCCCAATACAATCTACTTCTTTATAATACCGTTAATTAAGAAGGGAAACATGACCTACTGCATACTTCAGCAACTACACTCCATCCATTTATTCTGAGAATAAGGCTTACCACCCATCTCCCATACACCATCATGTGGGAAATGAGTATTAAACTTTGGTGATCCCAACATTGTTTGTATTTGAGAACTGATGCACTCCTGCATTTGTTCTGAAGCCTAATTCCTTCTCCTACCAAAAGCGATTTTTGATGACGCTCTGGATCTCCTGCAGTAGATGTCTCTTCCTTTCTTCCTCCCCCTTCCCTCACATAGTACATAGAAGTCCCATTTGCACTGCATAAACTAATGGGCAAAACATACAGATCATAGTCACAGATGTGGCCATCACCCCCCTGTGTAGCACTATAATAAGAAAATCATGCCTTTAAGCCTGTTAATTATTTGTACTACCTTCGTTTCTCTACGAATAGAAAACTTCTTGCATTTAACATTTTTCCTGTTAAAAATTTATGTGGGGAATGAAGCTTAAGAGTTTTTAACTTCTGAATTGCAAAAAGGACAAGAAGACACATCACAGAAAGTATCTGATACCTAGTTACTCCTGTCCTGTTTCACTGCTGTGCTGAGAAACCTTTGCATGGTCACCTGTATGAAAGTGTCACTGTTAGCATCAACACAGCAACAATACCTACTGAAGGCTGAGGTACCACCACGATCAATATTGATCCACACAGATTTAACAAGGTTTTCTTTATTGTCAGATGCTGAGTTCTGACATTTGCCTGGAGCATGAGGGACAACAAACCAAACCTTTGAGATTTTTGCAGGTGGATGTGTTCACTAAGTAAAAGGCTTAATGCATCAGCTGCCCGTGTAGGTCTGCCTTCAGCTACACATCCCTTTATGTGTACATCAGCTATCTAGGACACACCTCTCCTGCCAACACAAAAGCCACCAGACTATGTTTAAGACAAAAAAGTTGTCATGGGTCTTCAAACCCTGATGTCAACAGCATGCTGTGATGAGTTGTCTAATGTTCCAAAGGCCGGAAGGGAATTGTCTCTTTTTTATTTCTGAGGTGAGGATAGATTTCCTTCAAGAAACTAATCAAGATCTTGAATTTTAATTCTAGGTTAAGCAGGAGTTAGAATAATAGCATATTTCTACTGGTTGAGGAGGGAACAGAGAGGATACAGACTTTCTAGCCTTCGTGGTCTTGCACAAGCACATGTACATATTCATCCCTAATACATACAACTTTCACTTATATGAGTTAATTATGCACCTATGATGGGATTCATTCTAACACATATTGAAAAATTTTTATTTTTAGCATCAGTGGAAACTGAAGTGACTGAAAGCATCACTGGGGCTAGATAGGATTTTACCAAGTTTTCTGGAACACTTCTTATGATCCTGACCTATTGCTAGTTTAACAGTGTGTTTCAAAATACTCTCAGCCAAGCATATCCTTATTTTACTTCAGACTATTTTTCTTCCACTTCACTGTTTAGAAGCCTTCTCTCAGGACCTAAAAGAATACTAAACTGAATTAAATGCGTTGCATAAACTCTCTATCCTATCTCTCCTTCTCTATCTTCTCCTTCCCCAAATAAAAGAAAACAAAATTTTGGCCTGGGAAAAAACACAGTAATACATGGAGTCTGAGATTTCAAGTAATATTGTTCAAGATAATGTGAAAGGAAGGTGGTATGCTTGAGCTATGTGGAAGTGACTGGTTACACCAACTGCCTTTTATCCTAACTCAACCTAGCAGCTAATTTAGGGGTAGCATAGTCGTCTCTGAAAAAGATCTCTCATTAATCTTTCTAAGTATCTTGACACTCAGGCATACTGGGAATTTTAAGAGAGCTGGAAGAATTTATGAAAAATAACCGAATAAAGCTGATAGCTTTAGAACCTTTGTATTGGAACATCAGGCACTAATCATGAAGATCAATAAATGCTTCAGACAAGGTAGATTAATTCTGCATTGTGCAGAATAGCTGTTCACACGGAAACAATAAACAGTGCATGGAAGGAGGAGTCTTACTGGGAATTTTCAGAACATTTCTTAATGTTCTGAATAAAGACAAACATTAATTATTCTAGGAAAAAATGAAAGGTCTAAATCTTTCCCAACCCTGTAGAAGTTAGAAGGTGACTTTTACCAGTTTTCACAAACATACAAAAAAAAAAAAAAAAGGCTTCAGAACATGCACAAGCAGATCAGTTTTTTTCCCTGATCTCAAACAAAGCAGGCACCTTCAGAAGAGCACTGATTACAGAAGCATCAACCAATTTGATATTTGCTTTTATGGAACAAAAGAAATCTTCTAAGTCCATGCTGAAAAGCTTTGCAGTAACTTTGTTCTTGAAATCAGATTGACTGCCAAACCCTAAAACTCAGCAGCAGGGGTAATTGACGGATGCATAGTTGACCTCTGTGTGACAATTAAAAAGCAGAAACCAGGAAAATAGAAAACAGAACATTAAAAACCACTGCATAATGAAACACTAGAAAGCGAGTTACCTCATCATCATCTGCATCATATTGTGCATAATGCTGTTCCAGGAGCTCTCTCTGGCGGCGTTCTTGTTCTAGAGTTTGGCTGATCAGCTGTGCAACCTCACTCACTTGTCCTGGTTTTTCTCGTCCAATTACGAACCTATAAAAAAAAAATTTGAAAAAATGATTATTCCTATTGTTTTACCAAAGTTCTTGATTTTTACCTGTTTTTAGTCTAGGGAGTGGCTTTTTTCTTCACAGATACATGGATGTGATCGCTTTAAACGTGCTCCGTGGACTCCTGTTTGCCAGAAGGGCACCGCGTGCCAGACACTGAGTGATCAGACCATCACGGTATTTATGGGATGAAAAAACAAAAGTGATGGTGACCACTAAAGCATTCACTCCAAATTTCTGTAGAAAAGATTTACTGAGGTTGAACTCCACAGATACAGACCTAGAGCAGGGCAATTTTTTTAAAACAGTATCAGCTCTTCCAGTCCCCTAAGAGCAGCACATTTCTTGGAGGCCTATGGCAGTGCAGAGGCACAGTACCGGTATGGACAAACTTCTGGCAGCTCGCAGTGAAAGGAACATGTGCTAGGGTAACTTCTTTCTCCATCTTCTCGTACAAGACATTTCTGAGCTTTTCTATTTGCCTTTCTATTTGCTGTCTATAACAGAGAATCTATTTCCACATTTTTAAACCTGACAGATACAGCCTCCCTAACTTTAAACTGAATTTAAGCTTTATTTCATGAACTTCAGTTGCTAGGGAGCATTTTTCTCCACTGTGAGCTATCATTGAACACTGGAAGTGTATTTCCTTGGCGTAACAAAAGACAATGAAAGTTACCTCTTTTTTTGGCTGAGACATAAAATTCTGCTTCTCAGTTTTGCTTTCCACAACTGAAATTCAGAGCTGGCTTTGATTGTAACCCTTTTTTAAGCACAATGGCGTAACCACAGTTAGGCATTTTGCTACCTGTAGCATTAATTATAAAAATACATGCTACGGTACTAACACTGTAAAATACTGAACAAAAGCACTATTTAAAAACGTCAAGTTCAAGGAGTACTTTCTTAGCAGGCTAGAAAGACAATTAGGCAATTACAGATGAAAGAGTTATTATGCAGAGCTGAAAAGCATAATCAAGTGACATACTGCATATGATAAACTATTTGTTTCCACAACATCTGGCTCAAAATTATATATTTAATTTATTATTGGAACAGGAGGTAGAAGTGTGCATTATATCCCGTGTTAAGAAAATGATTTTGATTAGTACGGCCTCTTGCTGTCGATGTCATTTGGGATTTGGCATCCATGAATAAGCCAAGTTCCTGTGAGTGGATGAACCTGAATCCATTTTGTATGCCAAATGATTTGTCAGACTCTATGAAGTCAGGCACTATAGAAAGGAACACAACATGGAGAATATTTCAACATCACCAAAATACGCAAGTCAATAATTACTTCCAAAAGGTGAGAATGAGTGACTCTCTTTGAAATGACACAAGGTGCTCTGAAAATAATTTGCACGAAGGTGTCTTAGTTTAAAAACATTAATAAAAAGTAGAGAAGAAAACAGAAAAAAAAAACAACACTCAAGTAAATAACATCATTTTAATCTTGATCATAGCAGATCACAGTCTGGCACTCACATGCTACAATTACAAAACATGACAGCAATGATAAAGACCTGGGGCTGAAAGAAAAAGAATGTTTCTTCATGGCCTCTGTTCTTCATCTGTTCTGCACACTGACTCATAGTCGGATCCTGTTCCCTCTGAATTTTAATTTTACAGCCAAGTATTACAAAGACTAAAACAGCCACGCTTTCAGTCTCAAATGGGAGGAACAATGAACTTTCAATATTACTACATGCAGTAAAAAAGGATCCAACCCATACTTGCCATGTATTTCTCTCCTCTATGTAAAAAGAAATTAAAAGAGAATATGGAAAAAAAAATCTTCTACTTTAAATAAACATCTTAAGCAAGGTTATGCATGAGTGTATTATTTGTACGCAGTAGAGATAGCATGTTTGTAAACACACGAGGGAGATCACAGATATGGTAAATTATGGAACTACAAAAAATAGTAAAAATATCATATTCCTTCCTGCCCTCTGCCTGGTAACTTCACCTCCCTTGGAAAATAAGATACTCAAAATACTTCACACAATCATTTTTTATACAGAAGCCCTAGGACAGACAATATGTAATGGAACTGAAGTTTGATAACGCCTGATGATTTGGGATTAATTCATGAGGACTTTGGAGTTCTTACACTAGAAAAGGAAATTTTTCTGGTTTCCAGCTGAACTCCATTTGCATATTAGGAATGGTTTTGACCCTGTAGACTTTATTACAATAATATTTTCATATAGACAAGGAAGTTCACGTAACAAATAAAGCTTTTTTTTTCCTCTCATCCCAAAGACATACACAGTTTATAATGATTTTCAAGACTTGAATCATATGTCAGAATGAAGTTCCTCAATGACACCTGAAGCTGTTAGATGACATGAATAAAAGCCTCAAAGCAATGACAAAATATACAACAAATGCTTTCCAAAACAGAAATATGCAAGGAATCTTTTATTTTCCTATAATTTATTGCTTTAAAGTGAAACGTTTCCAAAGTGTCTGAAAATAAATATGTAGAAGCATTGAATCTGTGATTGATGTGAGTTCTAGGTACAGGATAGCAAACTTGTGAAATGGAGTATAAGGTTGCAAACAATTACAATTTTGACATACAAAATCAAATCTTTTGACATGTTACATTCCATGACCTTAATAATACTAAACCATATATTACTTAATGAAACTATACTATATATTATAATGATGTTTAACCTACAGCTAAAATAACCCATAAAGTATAAATTTGTAAATGAAAGAGAGAAGAATAAATATCCTTCTCCTAGAAGGAGAAGCAGTTATTAAAATGCTAAGCATGAATTAGATCTTTAAGCCCAGAATGGCTTTAAATACAACTATCATAATCTGAAGTGCTTAAGTATGCAAAAGAGACATAAGGTTGTGATTCACTGACCAGAAAATTAGTCACTGAACCATAATATGCACACTTCAGCGAAGTGGCTAATTATGTATTTCCCATCACTCCGCCTCACCAAAATTAAGCGCATGCATTTCAGACTTGATTAATTAGTCTCAAGGGCCACAAGTATTATAACAAAGACCTATAAATTCTATCAGCAATAATGTCTTTAAGAAGCTGGTTATGTTTCTGGATATGAGACAAATGAGGGTTTTCAAACCTTTAAACCTCATCATGACAATATTCCCCTTAATTATTAAAGTCAGGAAATGCAAAATCCAGCAAATCTGCAAAGCTGTAATACAAGCCACAACTATACTAAATCTCAGACCATTACAGATTATTTCTGATGCCCACAAAACTGGAAGAGAGGAGAGAATGACACTGAGAGGCAGGGCATAAGCTGACCTTGATACTCACAGTTGCACATGGTATAGCCGAATTACCAGCTGTGAAATATTCTCTGTGGTCATGGTGTTAAGATAAACAGGGATAAGGCTGGGAACATAATTAGTATTTGACTCTATTTCAGAAATAAGAATATCTAAAAAATACAAAATCTGGAGAAATTGAAAATTAAAATGTAGTATTGGTGGTTAAGAAAAACATTCTACTGAAAGTGGCAGCCACACCAACATCTCCTGCAATCCAGTCAGGATTTAATGATTTTAAAGCAGACCCAGTATATGGCTTTCTGCATATTTGCAGCTTTTATTAAATAAGGATCTGCAGACCTGTGCTTCTTGAAATAACAAGTGTATATATATTATATATATATATATATATATAAAGCTAGCCATGGGAAATAGAAACATCGTTGTAAGAATTAATTTAATTAAATAACATTTCCATTCTTCTAAGTACTTTCATACTAGCAAATGTGTAGAGCCAGCAGCTCTGTGACACAAACCTGAAGCTCTATAGCATGCATTTTTAGTGACTTATTCTCAATGAATGATTTCTCCTAAAAATACTTCAAACATTATGTGCTCAGTTAAAAATAATTTAGCTTCGATTACTTAAATATAACAAAAATTAATTAATTAAGAATAAAACAAATTCACTTCAAGAAATAAAGAACAGGTTTTTACTGCAACAGGATTCACAGTGACATTTTATCTTCAAACCCTTCCTAAAATATAGTTTAGTCAATAAAAAAAACTTAGTAAATTTCATTGAATTTTTTTTACAGATTTTTTCTGAAGACTGGTTTAAAAAATGGCTTCCCTCTGAGCTCTAAAGCACAAAGCTGCTTCTGCTACCATTTATCTAATTTATTTCAAGATGTCTTTAATTACCTACCCTGGCTGCTTCCATTACGATAATAACCATATAATTAATCCAAAGAGCTAGAAGTGGTATGAACCCTGTAAGAAGGCAGTTTTATTTAGTTTCAGCAGTGCAAGCTGGAACTCGTCACTTCTTCACAAGATGGCAGCCTGCGACATGGAGGTCACAGACCGGGCATCAGGAATTCACCAACTGTGAGGTGCAATTACAGTTGTTCAAATAAAACGCTGTGAAACTTCAGAATCATTCAGGTTCTTGGAGGCACTGAATAGTTTGGGATGTATGGGAGCTCTGGGCCACCCCAGCCCTCCCCAGCTCACAGCAGGGCCATCTCAGCTGGTCGGTCTGGAGCGGTTTTGAAGCCAGGGATGGAAAAATTCTGCTGCCTCGTTGGGGAACCGGTCCCAGTGTTTGAGTTACCTCATAGTGCATTTTATTTTTGGATAATATGGAGTCAGAATTTCCCTTGCTGCAACTTCTGTTCACTGCACAGAGTACAAAGACTCGGGGTTCACCCTTTCTACTGCTTCAGCCTGCACAGGTCCCTCTGTACAGCAGCTTTGCCCATTTAGCCTACTGACCACTCTCCCCAGTTTCTTATCACCTGCAAGCTCCTAAGAGCTTTCTGTCTTACGTCTGCCAGTCCACGCAGCCTGCCCTTGCATCAGAGACAGGCACACGTGCAGCAACCTGTAAAGCTGTTAGCTGGAACAAAGGGGAACTGAGGGCGAATGGCAGGAGGAAGTAAATGAGGTTTGCCTGGAGATTAGTGATGGCAGTGCCTCGAAATGAGCACAAGC